CTTTTAGTTGCAGAAATTATAGCGTTAGAGGAGGCTAGCCTCTAGTTGGTCTCCGTTAGTGTACGGCTGCGTTTGTTTTTTATTTAATTATTCGGACGGGATGCCGTGACGAAACGGGACAGAAAAATATTTCGGTAAATGCTTTTTGGTAATATTTCTAATGTGTTTTTAAAGTGTTTTCTTTCAATTTCAAGGGTTTCAATTTTCGGTAAGATTTTTTTCCATTTATTATGGATAAGTTGGACAAAATTAACTTGCCAGGATCACCCTGGGAGACCCTGGGAAGCTGGCGCTGAAAAAATATCTGGCGATGACCAGGAAAAATCTAGGCTAAACAGTAAGATTTCTGACTGGCCACTGTCAACTGAGGAAACACCTCCATAATATGGGGCTAGTGGACACACATCTATGCAGGATGTGTGAACAGGAAGATGAGACTGTCATGCATGTCCTATGCGAGTGCCCGAAGTTATCGTCAATAAGAGAGTGTGTGTTCGGCGAGTCTTAGCCTACACTTGCCGATATAAAGGAGATGTCGCCCAGAGACCTGTCCACCTTCCTGGAATGGACAGGATGGACGATGACCTAGGAGGACAATACCTCGGGAGGGTGTAGAATGGGTCACATGCAGCCTAAGTGCTGTGGGCTTACACTCACCCCCCCTACTCTACAGATACAGATAGAATCGACACAACTGATTAGTGAAACGAAAGTGTTCATATTGCTAAAAATTATTAGGCATGAAAAAAAATGTAGTATTAACTCTGCTCTCAAGTTTAAGTAACTGTATTAAATATCAATATAAAACATTCATAATTTCATAAGTTAGAAAAATATAAAAAATGTGTGCAAGCAAATTTTCGATAGAAATTAAAAAATTGAGAAGCTAGAAAAGTGGAGGGAAAGAGAGATATATGAATGTATTTGACCATATATAAACCTACTCAACTTACAAATCATCTACAAAAACTTGTTTAAATATTTCGATACATGTCAAAAAGTAATAACCAGAACCATATTATAGGTACTGTGATTTTTGATGTTCTGAAAATTCTTTATTTTGAAATAATTTAAAATTCACTAACTTGTACAAATTAACACAAATCACATCACTGCGCAATAAATAAAACATTAAATTGAATATTTTTCTCATCTCCAGACTGCAGTAGTGTCATAAGAACCTATAACTTCTACGTCCTGGCATAGCTTTATTCGTCATTTTCCATCGAACTCTGCTCGTTATGATTCTATAAATCGTGTTCCTCCACAGGTCTGTGACTCCGGAGACTGGTACCGAGAAACACGCGCCAAAGCTAAGGAATCGAGTGTCATCTTTCGAAACCGACCCTATTTAATTTATGTATGTCACTGTTATCTTATATACACGCAGGGGCAAAACGGAACATTATATTTTTTCGTGATCACTTCAATTATAATCAGGTTCACAAACACATATTAAGGGCAGATACAACCGGAGTGACGTTTTGGCAGCTTCCTGTTTTCGAGAAATTAGAAAAAAATCGATTCGTAACCTCTGGTGTAAAATGGATCAATTGAAAACACGTTTTCCTCGCCCGAACAAAAATACTGTCTCTCGTATATATCATCAGGAAATAATTGAGACTGCTACTACCAACGACTAGGACTAGACCAATCATTACTTCACATAAACAGGGCCAATAAATAAATTTCTAGTACCTAATGTTATTTGCTACCCGACTGTTATGTAATCTTTATTTGTTTTCTACCAGGGATTACGTAAGAGTGCTAAAAAAGGGCTGTTAGATAAGAGACCTTTGTCACCGTTGATAGAACTCGTTCCACATTTTTCTTTTTCTAAACTTTCTAAGGCATCTAAACATTTATTATGTACCGGTCCCAACAGTTTCAAACATTCCTCACTCATTTTATGATCATTCTCTATGACATATTGCGCAACACTGGACTTCTCCAGTCTATACAACTGAATATGTGAATAGGTTCCTTGTATCGAGCTATCATAGTCCGCTTAGTTTGACCAACATAATTTCTATCGCAATCTTCACAGCTCATTTCGTAAATCCCATATGTTGCACTTTGGGGTTGCCCAACAGTTGTTAAAGTGTAGGAACAGCCTCGAAAGCGACTTTCATATTCAATTTTTCGAAAGTTTGAACCTATCCTTTGGTGTATTTTGGTTCGTATGGAAGAACTATAAATTTTGAGTCTTCATCTTTCGAGCGCCTCAAGGATGATCCTGTAGTGCTTGTGTTTGGTCCTGCCATGTTTTGTTATGAGCAATGGTGGGAGCTGTCAAGGATATATCTGAAAGTGCTAGTGTTCTTTCTATACCGTATACATAATGTTGTAGATCGTGCCCTAAAGAAAATAACGCCGGCTGCCACTGGTAGCCATAAACCAATTGTGACATAGCTAAGAGCGCGCCAATGTACGATGTTCGCTGCCGCTCTAGATGTAGCGAAAATAATGTAAACGATTTCGATGAAATTCCGGCGAAATTTTCTAGCGTATTCAATTACGATATATGAACGCTAGCCACGAGCATATCGACACAGTCAAGTGGAAGTTACAGTGCGGTACGCGAATTGATCTAGTAAGGCGATAGACATTCGAATAATAGTTGGAGTTGTATTCAAAGTGAAATACAGTTAAGTTTGATTATGCAGTGTAGTCAATTATTAGTCAACCCACTGGGAAAAACGTAAAAATAATATTCAAACACTTATCGGTGTTTCTTATAACGAGAACATCCAAGAATGGTAACTCTTCGTTATTTTCAAGTTCATATGTGAACTTTATATTTGGGTATTTAATGTTAGGACAAGTCACGAATCCTTTATAAATGGTGGGAGCTGTCAAGGATATATCTGAAAGTGCTAGTGTTCTTTCTATACCGTATACATAATGTTGTAGATCGTGCCCTAAAAAAAATAACGCCGGCCGCCACTGGTAGCCATAAACCAATTGTGACATAGCTAAGAGCGCGCCAATGTACGATGTTCGCTGCCGCTCTAGATGTAGCGAAAATAATGCTACCGATTTCGATGAAATTCCGGCAACATTTTCTAGCGTATTCAATTACGATATATGAACGCTAGCCACGAGTATATCGACACAGTCAAGTGGAAGTTACAGTGCGGTACGCGAACTGATCTAGTAAGGCGATAGGCATTCGAATAATAGTTGGAGTTGTATTTAAAGTGAAATACAGTTAAGTTTGATTATTCAGTGTAGTCAATTATTGGTCACCTCACGGAAAAAACGTAAAAATAATATTCAAACACTTATCGGTGTTTCTTATAACGAGAACATCCAAGAATGATAACTCTTCGTTATTTTCAAGTTCATATGTGAACTTTATATTCGGGTATTTAATGTTAGGACAAGTCACGAATCCTTTATATTACTCCCATTCGTGCCGAAAATAGCAACTACATCATCCATGTATCGGATCCAAGTTAGTGGAAAGTAATCCAACTTTTCTCTTGCTTCCATTTCAATTCTACTCATGAACAGATTAGCCATGAATAGGGACAACGGATTGTCCATTGCCATATCCTCATGCTGCTGGTAAAAGCCATTTTCGAACTGGAAACAATTATGTTCCATACAAATATGTGTGGGCTGGATGTACTCTTCCTCTACTTCACCACCTATAGTTCATTTGTTTCTGACATATCCTTCGATTGTTTTGGATAAGGAACATTGGAAAATAACAAAGATACGTCAATTGAAGATACTGTTGTAGATCATGCACGAAAGAATGTAACGCCGGCCGCCACTGGTAACCAAAAACCAAACGTGACGTAGCTAAGAGCGCGGGAATGCCCAATGTTCCCTGCCGCTCGAGAAGCGGCGAGAGTCATGCTAAAGATGTCGATGGAACTTCGGCGAAAATTCTACGATGTTCGATAACGATATTCAAACGCTGGCTGCAGGCATATCGAAACAGTCAAGTACACAGTCAAGTGAAAGATACAGTGCGATACGCGAAGTGATCAAGTAAGGCGACAGACATTCACACAGTCAAGTGGGCGTTATAGTGCGGTACTCGAAGTGATCTAGTAAGGCGATTAAGGTAATAGTTGAAATTTTAAGTTGAAGTGTTTGTTGTATTTGAAGTAAAATAAAGTTAAGTTTGATAATCAGTGTAGTCAATTATTGGTGAACTCACTGGGAAAAAAGTAACAATACTAATCATCTCCTGATTAAGCTAATTCGAAAATCACCTGTGAAAAAATGCCATAAAGATTCTACCTGAAGACGAGGAAGGATGATGGATATTGATCTCTATGAGCAAAAGATCGAAGTCGTTTTTCAGAAGAGGCAGTAGAGGTATACGAAGATTACACGATATCCTATTGCATCGATACAAAAGAAGGTGCGGAATTGAAAGAAAGATCTACTTTGTTGTGAGAAAAGCTGATACCGCACCACAGCAAGCCTCCCTCATCTGTATGGTCTAACCAAGTCTCACAAGAACGGTGTTTCACTTAGACATTGAGCCCCCATAACTTGTCAGGATTTCTACATCCTAATTATCTAATTCGAAACTAATTGAATACTTCAGAAATTAACCCAATGCTGTTTATTAGGCATACAGTACTAGTGATTAGTTTTATATTGTGTGAACTCTTTTTCTTCTTCTTCTTCTTGATTTTAAATACTTTATTGATCTATAACTACATGCTATTATGAGTGTTACTTATAGTTTAATAGTTATAAGTATTTTGAATCTTAAGTGAATTAACCTAACCTAACTGATGATAATTTTGTTTGTCTAGTGTTATGACTAGGAATATTATTGATTTCTATGAAATTTATATTTGAAATTTTTGATTTATTTGTTAATGAATGAAATTAAAAAAAAATTGTTCTTACAAATTTACTATATGTTATGAGTATGATAATTCATATATGCATCTGATAGTTTGGTGAAGATTTCAAGAGTTTCAATGTGGATTTATTATGTTTTGTTTATAATTTAAAAAAATACTCACGAAATCCATTGATATATTCCGGACACAGTAAGCTCCCCTTTCTCGCTCAATGCGTATTCTATGAGTTCTGTATAAGTAAAAGGTGGTTTCTTCGGACCAGAATATCTGTAGGAATGTCCATTCTGATTGTTTTTGGCGTCGTTAGGCTGAGCAAAGTTATCACTGACTCTTGGCACCTGAATAAAAAATAAACCTGATGTTTATAAGCGTTACTCTTATGGTTTCAGTGGCTGTACATACAAAGATATCTTGTTCTAAAAATTGTAATGATAATGGATAATGACGTTTAATGTTTAGGAAAATTGAATTATATGCAAAGAGGCATTCGCATGTTTGTTCTTTTTCTTGAATATATGAATTGACAAATATGGTTGCGTCGCTGACCCCTCTAATGTACCGCCGCTGAATGCGGCATTCATAAAATTAAATTTGAAGTTATGTTACGGCGACGAATAGAAATCGGGAATGCGGGAATGGTTATCGCCGTCGTGTTCAGTTCAGAATCTGATCGCGATTTGAGTGTTGAAACTCGATATTGGTGCAGTTATAATTACTTAAAATTTGTATTATCCGTTTAAAATTTGGCGTCCTTGGACAAGTACCAACGAGTGTGATAACAACGCAGACTTTTTCCAGTGTAGTGATTCCAATAGCGATGGTGAACAATGCGAAAAAGAGATACAAGTAAATAAGATTCGGATGCATTTGAATATTAAAACACAGAGAGTATGTTTCAATGTATATAAGAATCTACATCTCAAATTTTGTTTCGAGGGAAACAAACTACAAGCAACATCAGATTCTGAAATAATGAAACTCACCATGAAACATTATCAACCACTTTCGATTTGTTCTGAGATTAGTTCATATACATCGAGATTACAAGCAACAGTGAACAAGCTAAGTAAGTATAACAAATATAATGTAACTGAAAATAGTATTCCGTTGTCATCATGAATTATTCAAATAAACTGATGAATTGAAAATATTAATCTTATATTATTGATATACTGACCCATTACTTGAAAAAAATTAATAACACTGATCATGATAATAAAACAATGTTCACACTTATAACGTTCATAAAGTTTTTAGTAAAGTTATAGGTATGAATATCGTTTTCATATTGTTTATACTTTTGTTCTACGAACATTTCTGGTATCTTGAGGATATATGGTACCTATATGTATACAGGGTCATGATAATTTTGATTTTGAACCCATAGATTCGTATTATGTTTCCCGAAATGTATGAGGAAATAGTGATAATCTCAACATTTCATGAAATCGAATACATACACTCTTTAATATTGAAGTGCAAGAAACAAAGGGGCGTTTATATACTTTTTAAAAATAAAATTACCTGAATTAAATGCGATTGGAACTGTCCTCTTGGGGTACCAGTATTTTCTGAGCTCGTGGCATCTAAAAAAATATAAAACGTGTTGATTCATCCGATATTCCGGCATTGGAATAAATGACCAAAGTTCATATAAGTTTCTCTGGGTAATATCCCAGGGTATTTTGGCTCAGTACGACCAATCTGGTAATTGAATTGCAGCCAGTTATATTTCTTACAAGATCCTCATTTTTTCACGAAAACCAACGTCTGAAAAGTCTGAGCAAATTGATCCAAGGCGCTGCGCTGCCAAAACAGCTCGAAAAATTAACCAGGCATGTGGTCATGGTGGTATTTAATGAACGCACTGTATGACGTCGGTTTGCGAAACCAACTGTTCTGTTTCGAGCTGTTCTGGCGCTGCGCTGCCAGAACAATAATGACAAATAATATTATCATGGTATATACAAGGAAAAAGAGAAAAAAAACAGGGTTTTTTTATCGAACTTCATTATTCTCTCTCTTAAATTTCATTACCAAAAATCAACTCAACCCAACCTTCTAACCTAACTTAACCAAAAAATGTTTTACATAAGTTAGGCGGTTAGGTTGATTTTTAATAAGAAAATTTTCAATAATTGACAATTTGTAGAAAATGTTAGGTAAAATGATTTGAAGGAAAATAAACACAAAAATTATGAGAGTAAACTTACCTCCAAAAGAGGTAGTTTCAACTAATGTTATTGGTGATGAAAATAATAATATATCAAGACGGAGATCAAATTATAAAGTTTTATAGAAATATTCCGATGCCATTGGAACTACCCCTTCTGTGGCTAGTTAATTCTGGTGTTTTCCCAAAATATTAACAATCCCAAAAGGGGTAGTTTCAATGTTTTTCATTGGTGACAATAATAATATCACATCAATAGAAAAGAATTATGAGATTCAGTAGAAAATTCCAATGTTATTTTTCCCTTTCTCCCTCATATCACAATAATCCCATTTATCATCATGTTATATAATTTTGTGTCAATTAGGTTGAGTCAGGAGATTGGGTCGAGTTAAATTTGACTAAAAATTGGTTTGAGAAAAAATTTAAGTAAAGATTACAAGAGTAAAATTATCTCCAAAAAAGGTAGGTAGTTTCAAATTATGTCATTGATGGCAATAATAACATACCCGTCAATACAGAAATGAAATTATCAAGTTTTGATCAAAATATTCTAATTGAAAGGCATTAGACAGCAAAATATTGTAGTAGACCATTCTTCGCAAGGGCACAGGCAAGGGTAGATTAATCTTTTCTCACTGGTACCAATAATAAAACATAGAAAGATATATGATAATGTTAAGGTCGATCAAAATAATGTGACAGCAAGGGTCAGCAGAATATTTCAAGAAATCAGAAACTATGTGGGTAGGTAGGTAGTATATCTCCCGTATAAAGGTAGATAAAATTCTAATGTATGGTAGTATCAATAATATCGAAAAAAATTCATGTAAGTTTTCCAATATGAGGGTGTTATTCGTATTAGAAAGTTCCTACATGGGTCGTCTTCTTCTGGTCAGTAAATTATTTGCTCCCAAATAAAGTTCCAATAAAAAAAAATAACTGTCTGTATTTTTATCAGTAGGAAAAGTCTAATCGTCCTGGACCAATATAAGAAATGAAAAATCGAGAGTTGCCCTCCTAGGCAATGATAACTTGAAACAAAAACAGGTGAACACAATTCAAACAATTCGCAAGAAGTGCTAAAATAAACATATTCTACGGAGTATGAAGTGAAACTACAAGTTTAGTCTCTTTCTACGTCGAAATTTTCAAAGTACTTAGATGGCAAAATTCGAAGAATAAAAACAAAAAGAAATGATGTACCTGGAACTGGAGGTAACTCATGGATTTTATAATTTAGGAGCCAAGAAAGACTTCCATCCGTGCAATCCGATTCGATTCCGCTGTCAGAACTTCTTGGACTTGGACTGGTGAGATCTCTAGAAGATTCTTGAACTACGTCACCGTTTCGAAGGTTACTGAAATCTTCTGTATTGAAGTTATGCATTTCTGCTACAATATTGGGAATTTTATTCGACGTGTCCCAACATCCATTGACGAGAAGAACCTGTAAGTTTTGAATTTTTTCATTTAAATAAATCAACACTTGATGATAAAACTTTTTTGCATTCTACTTATAGCGGCTCAATGGTCTAGGGGTATGATTCTCGCTTTGGGTGCGAGAGGTCCCGGGTTCAAATCCCGGTTGAGCCCAATTTTTTGAATTTCTTACCTCTCCACCAGAGTGACATTTAATGCCGTCTTCTTTTTTAATAGCGATTTTCGGAAAACTCGTTGTGATATTACAACTAATTTTGCGTACTTTAGATGGAGGTTGACCTGGAGGATGCCGAAATGTTTGAGAAACCACTCTTCCGCTATCCATTGGATTAATATATTCTATTTTTATAGGTGTCAGGTTTTCATCGAAACTATTTCGAATTATCAGATTGTTGTTACTCATTTTGCAAACTGTTACTCTTTACTTTTTAACGAATGCTCTTTTTAAAAGATACAGCGGGAACGGTTCACTTTTCCATCGCGATAAATTGGAACAAAATAAAGCATTAAACCGTGAGGAAAAAATGTTAAGAAATGAACAGTTTTTTACTTTAAGTGACAGTAGCCTACTATGCGAAAACATGATTTTCAAACATACAGGATGTCCTTGTGAATGTTCAAAATTGTTTTGATAATTACCTTCATTTCTTATAGGGCACTACAAAATATCTGAATAAATCACTTATTCGCACTTTTCACTTACTTTCCGGTAGCTCATTTTATTATTTCTGATCAGTAGAAATGGTTTCGGAGTTGATACACAACTGACGTTCTGTTTCCTTTTGAATCGGCCAAAAACTTAATTTGTGGCGCCAGCAACCCCCGCTAAATTGAAAAATACAAACATGCGCACGCCCATCCCTTACGAAAGAGGATAGTCTCACATAACCCTTGTAAATTCTAGAATCTGTTAAAAAATCTACCAATAATCTCTATTTTTCATATGGTATTTTTGGAATCTTTATTTATGAAAAAATGGATGCAATTCCAGAAGTTTTGAATCAAACTTTACAACAAAATCATAGGTAGCTTGTGACATCTATCGAATAATAATGCAAACTGTCGAAAAGCTGGGCTCTGAATTGTAGATTTCATTAAATTTCCGAACATCTGGAAATGACATGACAAATGTGAAGTTTGACTTGATGTAACAATAAATAAAAAATCATAACAATAAGATGGCTGCTGCTAGTAGTGAAGATTCGCCAACAATTCCAATAAATTCTTCCAATAATTCTTTTTTTCCTGAGAGAAATGTTTCAAGATCCTCATCGATTTCTTCTATTAATAGTTTCCAGTGGACAAGCCTTTTGGTTTCGAAACCTTCTCAAAAAAAAGGGAAATATCCTAAAGGTTAGTGAGATTTTCCAAATACATATACAGTGTGGGTATATAATGAACTATTTCAATAGTTGATAGCTAATGAATTTCTTGAAGTTTTGAGTATTAGAAAACAAAGTTTGCTCTATGTTATCTAGTCATTTAATGTATTGCCCTTACCATGGAGTACCCCTTACCAAGAAGTACCTACATTTTGATAACTGTGTGAATCTACTTTCATAACACCAATCAAGTATATGCTCTCTGTACTGATTAGTTACGTTTCAAATCAAGACTACTTTACAATGATCTTTATTTATAAAATATTGAAAGGAGAACAATAAACTACCTTCAAATGTTGAGCAAATTGCAAAGTCACATTCATATCAACTAAACTGTTTGAATTTCATGAAAAGCTGATTGTATTAATTTTCTTCATATTTATATCCATTAATCTAATGTACCTCCCATGTACATAATGTATTTGTGAAAAATAATGGTTTCATATTAATATTACTGCTCTGTATATTAGGAATCCTAAAAAATGATTATTATCATTATATAACTTTTTGAATTATACTCTAAAATATATATAACTTAAATTTTCTTTCAACAAATTGTGTAGGGTTATCAAGTTGTTGGTTTATCAGTAGTATATTTGCTCAAGGTAATTTCATGATAAGCAACTTTCACCTCCCATTAATTCTGAAAATATTGAAATTTGCATTTAATAGATGCCTTATGACATTTTTAAAATGCTATCTGTACCTATATTTACTTTCAATTTTTCTAGGTGTCAAATGAATGGTTTTAAAGAGCATGTAAAATTTATATTCAGTTTTTATTATATCAGGTTCCCTTAATGAATGTTCTATCAATAATAATTAGTTGAATTCATTCTTTGATATGTTCCTTGTGAACCAATGCAAAAAATTGTACTTTCAACAAAGTACTACAGGATTATGCAATTAATGTTTCATTAAAAATAAATATCAATAGAACCACCCATTTTCTTTTGATATGAAATAATCTTGTTTGGTCAACAATCTTCAGGATAATTTGAAAACAAACAATATTTATTAATCATTCAAAATATATCAATGCAAATACAGCCAGATGGTTAAATGCAGAGTTAAAAGCAAATATAATAGAATGTTTTTAGAGCTCGTTTTCATTTGTTTTGTAGAAGGTGTTGTCATAATATTCTTTGATAGTGGATGGGTATTTTTTATAGAAAATGTTGTCATCATAATGTGGAGATTTCTCATATTTAGGTTCAATTATTCTGGTAATTTGATGTTTCGTAGTTTTCAAGTAGTAATTTTCTCATTGAGTCAAGGAGGCAGCAGGGTTTTATATATTTTCACAAAACTGTAAATCTGGTTTTATAACGATAATTCTCCTTACAATCGGTTTAGCGTTATTACACCAGTTTGCTAACGTTCAACGAAAATTATGTTCATACAGGCATTAACGTTGGTTGCAGTAACATCAGTTGTTATAAATCCTCTTTTAAGATATGGGTAATCGTGAGTTATTAACGAGAAATAATAATTTCTTGTTTTGTAGGCAAAGAAAAAATCACAATTACTGATTTTATAATATTCAGAATAGGCCTATTTTTTTACCACGTAAAAAATTATCTGACAAAAACTTCCTGTTTTATTACAAGTTGCCATACATAATTGCCTTATATTGTTATTTCTGTCATAAAAAACAATGAAGGGACAGGAATTGGACCCTGTAGTATCCCAAGTTTCATAGCCTCAGATTGTTTGTAATAATGTTATATAGATGATTGCCGTGATGGTGAACCCAGATGGATAATTATCGTTTTTTCCCAATTGTCCATACCCTTCTACATACATATATGCTGCTTTCATTAAAAATATGTAAATTTGGTTTTACAAGGTTTTTGTGATGATCCCCGTATATGTTTTTTAATTTCAATTGAAAATATTCGTTAGTGTTATTTTAAATCACCCTGTATATCAAGTTGCAGCTTGATGTTTCGAAAAAGACACAATTTCATCAGTTTCCAGTGAAAAAATGAAATGTTTTTTTAAATTATTGACACAAATACAATAATTCCACCCTTATTTTTATTCATTTGGTGTCTAGATGTCGCCACCCGTTGTGGGTATTGATTTTTTCCAATTATGACATGCTCACAACCCTTGTGTATTTTTATAAATCAATATCTCCAATTCCAAGACGTATTTGTTGTGGTGGTTAAAAAACAATGCTGCAGAAAACCCGGGTTTTTCACAAAAAATCGCCGGTTCAGTAAGTTGAGAGTAGACCAAAACAATCTCAATGAAAGTCCAAGAGCTACCAGCTGAGGCTGGACCAAATGCAATGGAACAGGAGATGGCTGGCGCCCAAGACACCATTTATCTCTGCAATTTTCGCGTGTCCGTAGACGGCGAGTGGCTGTGTCTAAAGGAGCTACAAGACGTCGAATTCAACATGCAAGATTCATTAGTGAAACCCTTGTCAACGCCTTCTCCCGAAGTTCCTATGCAACCTTTCGGTATGTGTCACTGTGTCAGGTAAAACAAGTAGAATTTCAAGTCCGATAGTGGCTAAAATTATCTGAAATTTATTACAAAACTAAAGTTTTCATACGAATAGGGTATTATACAAACTAACGATGAATTTAGGTACAAAAGAGGTAATTTTTTTTTAAATCTGATACTAGGTGATACTGCTTGGAAACACATGGTAGGAATAATGTATGCGAAATATCTCTTATTTCAATTGATTCATTGTGTACATACTTCTTACTAGGGTTTGAAAAACTACACTTTACTTATTGGAATATGTTTAATTGAAAAGAGAAATTATAATTTTCAAATTCGGCTAATTACCCATTGCAAAACTAATATTTGTAATTATCTTTGAAAAGTTGTGTTGGTATATTGAAATGCATACATAAAATAGAATCAATAATTCAGATATGTACCCACTTTATGCAATAAATGGAAGAGAAAATTGAAAATATTCCTACATGGAAATATAATCATTAAAAAAAACTATTTTGATACAAGGTTAAAAAATCCATGAAATTAACGAAAGTGTATAATGAAGACAGTAAATAACTGATAACCTTCAGCCTTCAATATCAAGCATTTCCATCATTCACCGTCATTCATATTCATAGAGAGTTTAATGAGTCAACTTTGGTTGAATATTCAAAATAAAAGAAAGGTTTTGGTGTTTTAATGATTTTACTCAGCATTTTTGAGTTTGTACGAAATGATAGCCACAACTATATACTTAAATCATTACTTACAGTTATCAATTAGTTGTCATCAAGCAATGCCTGATTAGAACTAAGCCCTATGGTACACTAGTGTTCAATATCTTTTTTACTATCTCCAAATATATGTATACTACATCCCAAGTACACCACAAGGGTCAGCAACCGGTCCGGTATTGCTGTTATTAGTCATTTTCTGAGGCTAACATCATTATTACTAAGAGAGGACCAGCAATCTGTATAAACCTAGAAACTTATTTGATATTAAGGAAAAGTAATTTAAAATATGCATGTTCATTTATAATGTAAAGAATAATAAAAAACATTCAGCACTATGTTTCGACAAAAAGTTCAATTGATGATCATAATACACGACAAATACAAAATATAGTTTCACAACCACACAAATGTAAATTTGGTGAAAAATGTAAAAAATAGAATTATACGAAATTCAAAACAACTAAAAGAATATATCTTGAAATAGATTGACAATTTTCTAGATTCACATATTTTTATTTGTTGTGTTTTTTATTTGTTGTATTATTTTTTTTATGTTTTTTTTCAATTTGTGTTAAATTGTCCCCTACTATAAACATGTAATGTTTCTTGGAATACGATATATCTTAATTTTTTGAAATAGGAAACCTAATATACATATCTATGAGTGTAATAATGTCACTAGCACAAAGAAATATAAGAAAAATATGTAAAACATTTGAAATTTAAACAATTTGAAATTTAAACTAGCATGTAGCCAGAAAATGAACATTGTATATAAAGATTTCAGTATCATATGTTAATTTGAAGTAACATTTAAATAGATAATGAAATATAGGTACATATATACATTAAATTATTATTAAAACAGTGATATTTGTTTTCATTACAGATAGCATATTTAATTTATTGAGGTTAAATAAAAATAATAATGACGCACAGTAGTCAAAGTGTGGTTAAATAATGATATTGACAACTGTTACTTTGGACTGTATTGACAAATTTTGTGCTATTCTACTGAAAAAATATAGTTTTTTCGACATTTTCTTATGCATATATTCAAAGTGATTGTCAAAATTCAAAAAATTATCCAGTTGAAAACCAAGGTATTTGATTGATGACACAACTTCAATTTTTTCGTTATTGATATTGAGGTTTATACCGTTGATATCTAGAGAACTGTATTTATATTTTGTGGTGAATATCATTGCTTTTGTTTTTGTTACGTTGAACTTTAATTTGTTCAATATCGTTAAAATATAAAACAAAAAGAAGTGGGTCCAGAACGCTACCTTGAGGAACACCTACATCAATGTCTTTTTCCATTGATAGTGCATCTTTAAAACGGACTTTCTGTTTTCTATTGTTTAAATAATCACTGAACCATTCTAACACCTTTACATTAATCCCATACTGAGCCAATTTAAACAACATAATTTCTCTATCAATTGTCTCAAAAGCAAAATTAATAAATTCATTATTTATTAATATGATGCTACTTTCTAGGATTCAGTTTCAGTCAATTAAATTAAACCTTTGGCATTCCTGATTAGGAGATTTCCTGGAGAATGACATTGTTCTAGATTGTAAACAGTTCACACCAAGTAACGCTTGACATTGCAAGTGCTTCATGTATGAGGTATATTTGACAAGTTATAAATGTCAAATCTTGACATTCGAATTAGTGATTTTAGGAAGCGTCAAAAGCCAAGCCCTTATACACAATCAAGTGAGCTATATTTGTGAATTCAGTTTATGGCCATTAAATATATACAATACTGTATTCCATTAATCAAAATATAACCCAAAACACTAAATGGCAATATTATTTTACAGTTATTTCACTTACTACCCACGAAAACGTCTAGTAACTGTCTGTCTTCTGCGTCATTACCTCGCACCTTTATACATGTCAACTCTCTCAGTCATTCTTCAAAATTCCTCACACAATCCTCATTATTATCTTCTTTTTGCACCCCTGCAAGGTGGTATCATCAGCTAAAATTGTGAAATTTACTTGAATCAGAATGGTGGACAGGCCATTAACAATAATCCCATTATTTCTGTTAACCGAATCCAATTTATTTTTCAGGACGGGATCCCGTAGTGATAGAAAGGAGTAATCTAGTCAATATAAGTAAATTAGTGGTTAAGGAACTTATAGAACAGTCTTTGAGATATGGAAGACAACTTGATTCAGATCACATGCCTCTCCAGCATTTTTTCATTGTACTAGAACATGTCCTGAGGCATGGACTCAGACCAAAGAAGGTACAAAAAATCACTCTACTCCAATCGGAACAGTTGCCAAACTTTTTGTTGTAGGGTTTACTCGGCCCTAAAAAAGAATTATGGGACATACTACAGATGGTTGAGAAGTACACGCCGGAAGCGCAAGATATAACTGCAAGCGTGAGGGATTTACCAACTGTGAGGTAAACAGAACATCGTCCGAGGTCCAAGTAGTGTCACTCTCATTTATATGATTTCAGGACGCATATGGGCAGGGCCCGAGCTTGGTTGAGACTGGCTTTGATGCAGAAGAAGCTGGCAGACTACCTCAAGGTGCTGATTGATCATAAGGATGAAGCTCTGGTGGAGTACTTTGAACCAGACGCATTGATGTTGAGCGACGAGGCTATTATTATTATTGGTCTTTTGGTAGGGCTCAATGTTGTGGACTGTAATCTTTGTGTGAAGGTAATATCGTCGAATGTAATATATGTATATATATGTATATATATCAGTAAACTAATATGTATTTATGGATATGCTAAGCAGCCTGATAATTAAGTGAATTGTGCTTTTGGGTCGCAGTAAGTATAACGATTTTTCAGGAGGAAGACTTGGATTGTCCTCAAGGCGTCATTGATTTCTCTTTATACTTGAGATCATCAAGCCACGTATCAAATGAATCTAGTAATGGCGAAGAACAAGGAGACCCGATGACAACCGTACTAGATCAAAAGAATTATATCGAAGAACTAAACAGGCATTTGAAGTGAGTATTTCACAATGTTATTCAGTTGAATGATTAGATGATGGTCTTGATTTTATTTACATTGAAATCTTCATTGAAAACAGAGGCAAAACTTCAGATCGGGGGTATTTAAGTAGACTTGTGATTCTTGTCCCAAACTTTATATGGGTTGAACGGGTAGAACTTCCTACAAAAGAATAAAAAGACATTGGAGTGGTTTTTTAAGCGAGGAGACCACTTTCTCGTTTGTAGTCCATATTTTGTCAGAGGGGCATTAGTTTAATCATTGTTATGCTGTTATTACATTTGAAAGAAAAACTGAATGTTTAAACACATATGTCCTGGGCCTAAGAAAAAAAAACCTTTTTTTTTTTTGTTGAAAATTGGTTTTATTCATCAACATAATCTCTGTCAACAGCAACACAATCATTTCAGCGCCGATCTAACACTTCAGTATCACTTTTGTAGAACGATTTACATTTTGCCTCAAAACAGGCTTCAGTTTCGGCAATTACCTCTTCATTTGAGCGGAATTTCTTACCAGTAAGCATTTTTTTAGGTCTGCGAACAGCTGGGAGCCAAATCTGGTGAATACGGTGGATGTGGAAGCAATTTGAACTTCAGTTCACCTAGTTTTGCCATTGTTTTGATTAACTTGTGACATGGTGTATTGTCTTGATGAAACAACATTTTTTTCTTTGCCATATGCGGTTGTTTCTTTGCAATTTCGGCATTCAAACGCTCCAACAACGCTATATAATATTCACTGTTGATGGTATTTCCCTTCTCATGATAGTAGATGAATATTACACCACGCACATCCCAAAATACCGAGGCTATGACCTTTCCAGCCAATTGTTGTACTTTCGGGTGCTTTGGAAGACGTTCACCAGTTGCCCTCCACTGATGATGATCGTTTCGATTTCAGAGTGAGGTGATGAATCCATGTTTCATCCATTGTCACATATCGACACAAAAATTCCGGTTGTTATGTTTAAACATGTGTAAACACTGCTCAGAATCATCAGCCGTTCTTGTTTTTGGTCAACAATGAGCTCGCGGGGCACTCACTTTGAACAGAGCTTTCTCATAGTCAAATACTCATGCAACAGTAAATTTCTATAATAGGAAAACTATTGTGCCAGATGACCTAGAAGTTATTGACGAAATAAAGATTAGTTGCGAAGTATAATTTTTAGGAAAATAAAAGGAGTATGCAACAAACTAAACAAAACATTTTTTGCTTCAAGGCAAATGAAATCATGCATGGGCACAGCAGGTCTACTAGAAATCTATTTTGCTATGGCATATTCACATATATCGCTAAATATCATAGCNCCAACATCCATGAACTAGAAACAAATGTTACTATAGTTGTGATGAATTCCTGAAAGATGATTTCCGATGAGCACTGATTTGACTTATTTTTTCTCTTACTTACTGTGTGTGTGTGTGTTTTGTACAAATTCACAATAAAGAGTTCGTAAAGAAAATTATGAAATATTTCAGTGCAACCGTGACAAATCTACAAACGAAAGTTGAGTCTCTGACTACCACCAATGCCCTTATGAAAGAGGACTTGGCTATCTCTAAGAATAACCTTCTCGCTCTCTACGAAGAAAACAGACAACTAAGGCTCGAGTGTGGCAGGGATTTGGGGGGATATTCGATGAGCGTTAGCGGTATGCTCATCACGAATGACAGAGGAGCTGAGAGCAGCAAGGTGGCTGGGAATGAATCAGAGTTGAAGCAGAGGTTAGAAGAGGAGAGAAGATTGAGGCAAGAGGCTGACAATGAGCTAGAAATTCAGGTAGATTAACGAATTCAAAATTGTGTCAAAGTTATTTTCCGGGTTTTCTGGCCGTGGTCTACAGGTTCTTAAGCCTGACGTTTCGTCTACTACTGCGGTGGACATCAAAGACGATGATGTAACGGTCTAAGTTTCCAACGCAGCAACAAATCCCACGGCCAAAAAACCCGAAAATTAGTTTTCGACACAGTTATATCTGGCTGTGAAAGTTTAATTTCTTTAAATTGAAAATTGTTTTTGAAATATGAATAATCATATTGAACAAATCATTTTTTGTAGAGGAAATTATAGTTTCTTGAAAACGAATAAATGATTATCATTATTTAAAAAAATATAAGTTTTTATGGACCTTTTTTCGGTATTCTCATTCTCCCCAATCTGAAAAAGATAATGTAATTGTAATAACAATTTTTTATATGAAAATACTCGAAAAACGGCCGATAAAACAATGTATAATGACTTCTGTTTTTGTAGATGTGTATGAAAGCAGAGATGGAAGTGGCGATGAAATTGCTAGAGAAAGACATTCATGAAAAACAGGATACAATAATTTCTCTCCGAAGACAGTTAGATGATATAAAGTTGATTAATCTGGAAATGTATAAAAAACTGCAGGTAAGTTTTATTTTTATGAATACTTCACATTTGTACACAAGGGAGGATTATGCATTATTTATTACAGTTTAGAAAAATATATTGTAGGGAACAGCAAAATAATTTTCTCCTCTGTACATTTTTATAATGATTATTGGTACTAAGAATCAACATTAATACACATACCAGTTAACGTAAGGAAATAATTTTGTTTTTTCAAGATATTACATTTTGATTAAGTTAATTTCTGTTGCGACACAAAATGGATAATTGAATATTACAAAAGTTATATGCAATAAAAAAGTTATTAGAAAAGTACAGTCAGTTTTTTCATGTTTTGATAAAAAACTCGAATATTTTTTATTTAAGTAAAAAAATCTTATTCTTTTTAAATAAATTTACGACTTTTGCTAACCTTGTTTCATAGTATTGAGATTTTTGAGACTTGCTAACACTTACAATGTGGATTTAGAACTTTTTAATTATTCTTTGGATTCATTTACAAAGACTGAAAAGATTTGTGATTGATAAGCTTGTTTTTGATTTTCTTAGGTTTTTAAATATCCTCACATCTAGCAGATAGTTATAGTACATAAGTGTGAATTCGTTAATTATTTTGTAAAAATAAGGCAATGCCGTAAATGAATACATCAATAAATGAATACAATTTGAATTACATTGTCTTGGTGGTTGTTGATTCTATGCAGCTGCATACATTTCAAGTCGCCAGTATTATACTCTATTTTACTGCATCAAGTAACATCATTACATTTGTAACTGGCCAATGTAATTCGAGGATGAATGCCTCCTATGAAAATATATAAATAATGACAACGCATACATGTTTGGAGATTTAACTGTTCAAAAATAAGTTTGGCGATCACATTACTAAATCACGCTAACAAAAGAGCTCTCTTTCAGGAGCTCTTCCACAAGATTCTCATTGGAAAATTGTTCTTATTCTTATGAAGAGGGCAAGTCAGAACTTTGTGGTGTCAGTTTGTCTTATGCAAATAAAGCATAGATAAGAGATTACTTCAGTATCAGTTCATGGAACTCAACATACTTAAAATATGACTCTATTCCCTTGGCATCATAATTAAGAGTCCATTATTTTATAAAATTGCATTCACCAAAATCCGTAAAAAAACAAAGTGGGTAACTTTGTATTCAACTCATTTTACATACCAAATTTTTCTTTTACTTTAGACTCGTACAATTTCCAACTCCCATACTATGCAGGTATTATATGTTTGATAATCTTACACTATCCTATTTTTTTTTTGTAAATCCTCTCACTGATTGTTTTCACGTGTCTTGCCTTCTTATAGGAGTGTGAGATGGAGCTCACACAAAAAGGGGAAATGGTGAGTCGACTTCAAGCGAAAGCGGGACAAATAGGAAAGATTCTCAATAACCTAGAGAAATTCAATCATCTGATGAAAGACGACAAAAAGTCGTCAGATAGACGATTTTCTTCTGATAGAAAACAGCCTGTTCCCAGAAACATTGATAAAAATACTGCTCCGAAAAAAGTTGCTCCTGAAACTGTTGCAGAGGGCGCTGGTAGCAGTAGTAGCATGGAAACAGAGCTAAGAGAACCCATCGCTTCCGATTCTACGGAGTCTTTCGTTAAACTTGATTTAGATTTGAACATGGAGGAGAGCAAGGAGTAATTCACACTGGAAGACTTCCATCTGATTGTCTAAAAATTGATGATTAGATTATTTTTCTGTAGAAGACATTCGAGTTTTGAAAAATCAGAGAAGTCAAACTTTTTATTCGAATTGAATATAAAATTTTTCTCAAAGTGTAATGTTTCTTGAGTGGATTTTTTTGTTTCGAGGCAAGTAATAAGTACTAAGCACACTGAGTTCACTTTGCGTAGAAGTTGGACAATTTTGACTCAGTTTGCTGGGTTTCATGATTTAACAACCGTGTACAGGATCAATCTCGCCCCTATTTTGATGAAAATTGAATGTAACAAGACAATGTTACATCTATTTTTTCAATATTCAGTGAGGTTAGAATGATTGTGTTGGTTGGAGTGGAAACACTCGTTTATTATTATTATTATTTTTGTTAAGAATGGTTCGGGACTATTTTCAAAGACTGAGACATGTAGCTGTGGCTTATTTCAGGATCGTGAGGCATCTCTAAAGCAAAAAACAGAGTTTGTTTCCAAGCTAGAAGCTAAGGCACAATCAATGACAGAAACGATACGTTCCCTTGAAACTAAGTAGGTACATTTTTTTGTTTTAATCGATATTATGAGAGGCTGTAATGAGATTTCATATAAGGTGTTTCAAAGTATCATCAGTGTTATACACCTTGTATGGTATAGTTATTCTTCAACAGTTCATATTTATTTCACTACTAATCACAAGATTTTTCGCTCTTAATGAGAAACTTTTTATACGTTGATATCTAATGATTAATTTTAAGTAGTATTAATTGAAAATGTTGGCAAACCTTCACTACAAGCAGCTAATAACTAGTAATATTTAGTATATTATGTAAAGTACCAATTATTCCTATGAGAAAAAGTCCTTATGTTATATTCTTGTATCTTTACTAGGATCTGTGTAAAATAATTGTGATGTTTATGTTACATATTGCTATAAAATATATTTTATCATTGTTCTTATAATAGCGCGAAATGTGACTGATTGTTTTGGCTTATTGATAAATAAAAATTAGCTTTAAAAGATATGTGAATTTTTATTATCCTGGCCTGTTTTGAGTTCTTTTTTTTATTTTGTAGAATAGGTTTGCCAGTATTTTCATTTATATTTTGTTTTTCTTGTTTTAGCACGTTTTTTTTTTATATTATCTATTCATTTTTTGTCTCATTCATTTTAAAACAAGCATGAAAAAGCTCTTTCATTCTATCCAGGACTACTAGACTTCTACTGCTGCTTCTCTACAGAAAAGATCCACTATTTTGTTTGTCGTTAAAGTTTCTTTCAAATCATAACATACATGGAAATCTTGGATCCCAGTTTGATCTCAGAAGACAATGAGGTTAGAACAAATGAAATGCAGAGTGCAAACAAATTCCTGGATGAAAATATACGTGAAGGCCAGAAATTCAACAATCAAATAGAATAGCTATGCAAAAAATATCGTTCAAATGCTATGTTGTGAGAAACATTCTCAAGAAAGTGGGATGCCGAATCTAGTTATGCACTCATTGCGTAACATTTACAATGCGGTAATGCGTTTTGGAAACTAATGCGTGCTAAGGATTAACGAGGTCTTATCTTTTAACGTGCGATTTCTAGTACGTTATTATTTGAATTTAATTTTTTTGGAAACAGTGACTTCTACATATTGAAAACACTCTCCACACTTTGAAACAGTTTTAGTTATTTGCTGGTGAAGCACGCTCCGAGACATAGTACTTTTGTTTCAATGTGTAAATAGTGTTTTCAGTAGATTTATTTTACGCTAGATGTTCCAATTCTGCCTATCAAGTGGCTTCTACCAAAAAAATCTTGGATCTTTTTTGTAGAGAATTATGCCAGTTTTCATTCAACACATGAGTTTTACGATTTAAATGTCCAATTTGTGAGAAGCTGTGGCTCCTGAAAAAAGAAGCTAGAAACTTTTTTATGGAGTAATTTGCAACAGATAACTCATTTTATTATTATTTCAGAAGATACTGACAAAAATGTTCAAGATCCACTTGGATTAATATAACATAGACTCGCGGCCAGAGTCACGTTTAGAGAGAAGAAATTTCGGACCGGTAGGCCATGGTCGAATAGAATTTGTAGTACTGAACATTTCAACAGTGACTTCTACATATTGAAAACACTCTCCACACTTTGAAACAGTTTTAGTTATTTGCTGGTGAAGCACGCTCCGAGACATAGTACTTTTGTTCCAATGTGTAACTAGTATTTTCAGTAGATTTATTTTACGCTAGATGTTCCAATTCTACCTATCAAGTGGCTTCTACCAAAAAAATCTTGGATCTTTTTTGTGGAGAAATATGCCAGTTGTCATTCATTTTATTATTATTTCAGAAGATACTGACCAAAATGTTCAAGATCCACTTGGATTAATATAACATAGACTCGCGGCCAGAGTCACGATTAGAGAGAAGAAATTTCGGACCGGTAGGCCATGGTCGAATAGAATTTGTAGTACTGAACATTTCATCTGCTACTGCGGCAGACATCTTCAGTGGTATATGCGTTCACTGCAAAGATCAAAGTAGTATCTCAAAGTAGACAAAATATTTGGTACTACAAGGGGTACTATTTATATTTCGGGAATAGCAAATAATAACAAACATTTTTCAATGTTGATGGCTTTATTGTTTTTTTTAATATTCCCGTTGACAATACACTTTTGCATTCGTTCAAACCATTTGTTAAACCATTTTTTCTATATCTCTTGAGACACATCAAAACATGGTTTTTGAACGTTTCAATTGCTCCTTAGGCGCTCGTAAATCGCTGACCACTCAGTTTACCTTCGATATTAGGGAACAAGAAGTCATTAAGTGCCAAATCAGGACTGTACGAGGGATAAGTCATCAATTCAATGTTTTGACTGTTCAAAAATTCACCTGTTTGACGAGATGTGTGAAAGCTCGCATTGTCATTATGGAGAATGATGACTTCCGGCAAACAAATGATCATTTACCACTCAGAATTGACCGTTCTACGTTGCTCAAGCGGAACAGTGGCCACATGACCCATTCGGCCGAAGAAACAGGCGACCATTTGCTTCGTATGCTTCTTCCACAAACAAGTTTTGTTGGATTTAGCTTGTCTTGGAATACCCACACGGTTGATTGCTGTTTTGTTTCCGGCTCAGACGCATATATCCATGATTCGTCAACTGTCATGATTTTATGCAATTCTTTTGAAGCACCACAGTCGAACTTCTTAATCATTTTCTTATACCACTTGACGCGAGCCTTTTTTGAGCAATTGATAAATTATGGGGTATCGTACAAGAATACATTTTTTTCATCAAAGTGGAACTAATTTGCAAGAATACCTCTATCTCACAATATGTCACATGACGATCTTGCATTATCAGTTCGATATTTTATGGCATAACAACCGATTTTAGACGCCCTTCACGGAATTCGTTGGCAACTGAACTACGACCGCTATTGAATTTGCTATATCACCGATATACTGTGACTTTTGATGGTGCTTTATCGCCATACAAAGAACTGAGTTCATCGACACATTCTTGTTGAGATAATCCACTTTGAAAGTTGTGAAAAATAATCCAACGAAAACCTCTTGAAATGCTCATTTTTTGATCAAATTAAATTTCTCAACTCGCTGTAAACAAAACAATATAAATAGTCCCCCATCGAACAAGTTCCGGGCCTGCTACCCCGGATTTTANGTAAACAAAACAATATAAATAGTTCCCCATCGAACAAGTTCCGGGCCTGCTACCCCGGATTTTATTCTCTCCAATCCATCATATGGCTAGTCCAATAAAAATCTGCTGAATCATCAACAGCAGTATGACATAACACAAATCCTGTCATCCTGCTTCCAGCAGGTCTACAAAATTAGCATGATTATGTAGATACTGAAGAGAACTGTGGTCAAATGGAAACTGAAATATGAAACGTTTCGTCTACTACTATGGCAGACATCATCAGTAGGTTGTCTCTTGAAGTCTCAGCAGCACTTGTTGCTGAATCTGCTTCGAGAGACGGAAGATTATATCTCAAAGTCCCTCAAAGCAGACTCGGTAACAAATGTTGCTGAGACTTCGAGATAAAACCTTAGTCCTCGCACATACCACTGATGATGTCGGCCGCAGTAGCAAACGAAACCTTTGGCAATTCAGCCCGGATTTTGTTTCCTCTAAAACAACTCCAGCAGAGTCATTATTCTGCTAATTTTGTAGACTTGCTAGAATCCATCAGGTGGAATATACAGTATTTGTAGATATGGCCACACAGTATTGTAGCTATAGTAACTTTTATAGCTTTTTGAATAACCTACTTTGAATCACTAATAACTTGTCAATTGTATTTGAAATTTAATCAGTATATAATGTTACCGAAAACGAAGGTAAATTCTATATTTTTTTTAATACTACTTCCACACTTGAACGTCACATTTGATGCTCACGAATATTTAAGATACATGGAAAGCGAAGCACATCGACTTTCAACCGAACAACTGAAACGTGAAGGTGACATTCAAACTGCCAAAGTGAAAAAACAAGCGAACAATTTTGAAGAAGATTTGAAAGTGGAAAGGGAATGGCGAATGTCTTTGCAAGAATCCATGCAGCAAGATCGAGAAAGAATATCAAAACTGCAAATTGAAAATGGTCAATTGAAGATTATTGCCCAGGTAGGATTTCGTTGCACATAAATTGATATTTGGTATTGTTAACTTGTTTTTGCAGAAATTTGCACAGTTGCAACAAGAGTATTATAACTTGAAAGACCAGAGCTTAGAACAAGAACATACTCTAGAGGAACTGGGGGGTCAACTGAGGGATTCCAAGTTGAAGATATCGGACTTGAAAGAGGAAGTTAATAGAAATCGCTCGGAAGGGGGTTGGGTGAAAGATAACTCTGCCTCTCAGTGATTACAGTATCAAATGCCTTTGGATAGGTAAAAAAAATAAATAACGTTGAAATACTACTATCTATAAATTGATACGAGTTCTTGAAGATAACAAATAGCATCTCGTGTTAATTTTTGTTTTCTAAAACTAAAATTTAGCTTCACCATTCATTTTTCAATAATACATTTCAAGATATTTTTAAAAACTTTTACCAGACCTGATAATATATTTTGTTCTAGTGTTTATTCCTTTTTTCAGCACCACTGTCGAAATTGTGGAGAAATTTTCTGCAACTCATGTTCTGATAACACAATGTCTCTTCCCTCCTCTGCTAAGCCTGTTCGTGTCTGTGACGACTGTCACCTGCTCTTGTCGAATAGAACTTCTGTGATGAATTAGGTTTAAGTATAAAACGTGTTATTTATATAGAAAAGTATATTACAACCTGTCGGTTTGATGCCAGTATAAGACAACTTTGGTACGCAGAACTAGCTTTAGCTGAATAATACGACTATGGGTTTAAATGACAAATCACACTACTGATAGTAGTTAAGACTAATTTATAGAATGAGTGGGTGAAAATAAACTGTCAGGCTATGGACCACGTTTACACGGTATCTTGGAAAACTCATAACTGATATTACTAAAACCAATCTGGAGTTGAAAGTGTGAATTATGTAATTCTAGGTTGAGAATCAAAAATTCCGAGTTCGACATTTCCAAGTTAGAAGTAATAAAAATAATATCTAGTGCATGACCAAAAAAATGAATACTCTCCTGGCAAGTTTCGCACAATTAGTGTTGATTACTCAATCTATAAATTAGGCTGTGGTAATGGGTACCAACAATTTTCACATCAGTAACACATTGCAAATGCTTGCCAGTCATTCGTATATGGAAGAGAATTGTTCAGATCATTCACAAGGGGCTAACATACCCTACAATTGCTGATATATAGCAATTGCAAATCCTAAACTTATTACTGCAGCAGAAGCTTTGCTTGAAAAGCCTCCATTACACCTGTGGTCCAAGAAACAAAAACACCATGTCGTTTTGTCATAGTAATTTCTATAAATGTCCAGTTCTTTGTTACTATTGTTGACATAATTTGCTAACTTCAGATCTATTGCTGCTGGGCGGCATCCTTCATAGTGATCGGCAGGAATGTCAGTGCGAAGCCCCTGCATGGAGCTCAGGCAGTCTCTAGTTATAACGGAAGAACCTTAAATAATGAGAGTAATGTTCAATCACCAAATCCATAATATAAATGAATTCCATTTTTGCTAAATAAATATCGGTCAGACTGAGCAGCCATTGAAACTCATTTCAAAGAACACGCAGATGTCTGATTTTGAAGATCACAAAAATCTAGTGTCGCTCAACATGCCTTTGAGAAGGGCCATAAAATAAATGAAAACTGTCTGAAATTGTCGTGATCAGTACACGGCACTAGACTTTTGGATGCTTTCGAAAGGCTGGAAATAGCAAACTGTAGCATGAGAACTATGAACAGTGACTTAGGTAAATAATTATTCCTTTACCAGCGCAACTTAAAGTCAATATTTACCATCTTTTTCTTCGATTATTTTAACACAGACATCATCATCCTCTGGGCATATTTTTGTCCAGTGAAAAAGCCAATTAAATGGGGTACCGCAACCTGGTTGTGTTGACACACATTGGTAGCACCAAAGGGCATTGCCTGGAATTAAACATTGTACATTAACAATTTAGTCACTTTGCCACACCCACTAAATTATGTTATAAAAACTTACTTTCCACTGTAAACAGAGTCAAAATAGATAATGCTATAACGTAACTGGTAACCATTATTATTAGTATTAAATTCTAGAAATTTACGAACCAACTCTATACCTAATTATTAACTAGATATAAAAAAATGCTTTTTGAGGTTTTGTTTTGATCGATTCCACTCTGTTTATCGTTTCGTAGGTATGTTCGGTTTTAAAAATCTGGAGCCGGGCGTGCAGGTGTAGATTTGATATCACGTGATCACACAGTCAACGGAACGAAATATATTTAACGAACGCTCGATTCCATCTGAATGACAAGTCGACATTTGTGGTAATATTTTTTGTTATCACAAAACCTCTAATAATGATTAATGAAGTGTTTCTCTCCAACAGCACTGTAATTCATATATTTTTTATGCAAACATTTACAAGTATTTAAGAATTATTAGTGTTGAAGAATGCATCATTCAGTTCAAAGGGTAAGGGAGCCAGGCTTCAACCTGACTAAATTCAAGATGACTTCCAAGAATGCATCATTATGTCAATGAGAATATGTCATGAACTCTTATCTGGATGTAGTGATGTGCTAACAAACATGAGTCAAAAGTTTCATCGAAAGTTAATGACTTTAAAAAAAAACCTGAAATTCAACCAATTTTTCAAAACCTGACCAATCCTAACGTTAATCTCAAAGATAACCGATCATATTTTTTTTCCCCGCTTTCGTAAATACCAAACACATAGCAGATGTAACTGAGAGAACAGCAAAGAGTTCGACAACAGATCTGTATAATCGAATGCTTGCCGAGCGAAGCGAGCTAATTGAGCATTCAAATTTGTATCGAACGAACATACTTATATATTATGAATGCACACTCTGAGGAATGCACTGGAAATTAACAACGCTGTTGTTGTTGTTGTATTATCCATTTTTGAGTTCAATCTGCTGTTTTCATTGTATTCATTTTTCAATCGAACAACATGACAATTGATACCAATGACGAAATTCAGAGTAGCCAACTTAGAACGAATACACGTGCCCCAAATGAAATCCTTATTCAGTATGGTATATACTAATCAAGGCCGTAATTTAAGAGATCTCGAGATGCAGCTCAGTTGATATTGATAGAGGATAACTTCTCTTATTAGAATATTGAGAGGTAAATTGTGAATTTTTCTTTTTTTTTTCAACTCATACATTTAAAAAAATTACCGTTTTATTGGCATTTGCTTCTTAAGGTCCATTCGTCCATTTGGGTAGATAACTGCCACTACCACTTTTTAAAACTAAAAATGAACAAATCTCGTGGGTTAATGTGCCTGAATGGAAGCAAAAATCGAAAATATTGAAAGATAGAGAAAGAGAAAAAATCTCTGATTCTGTCACCTGTCCAACAGTAATGGATGTTGGTAGTTTTCTGTCGTTCTCAAAATTGTTGAATCCTATTTTACCGACTGGATGCTCAATTATGGTTGGTTGGACAATCGTATATTTTCGTGGCACTGAAGTGTAGATTCGTGGATTCTCCTTTTTATTAGTAGTGACTTTATTGTGTTGTTTGATAATCTACATAAATTTATCATGTAAAAATAATTTTTAATGTAAGTTACTTTTGCAATAGCTATCACAATTTTCAGTAAAATGTGTAGTTTGGTTTCCTAGTGAACTGTGAACTTTATAATTGGAATATGGCAATCCGCATCCATCTACCAAGTTGACATGGCGCTGTTGTGTTTCTAATTAATTATTTTTAGGATGAAGCTACAAAATAAACGTAGAAAAATTACACACCGATAAATATAAAGTTTGTATTTTGTTTTGAATGTGGAAGTGGATGACACGATTTTAGTTTTTGTTTGAAAAAAATAACCTTTTTCAACTGTTTGACATTTTGTTTTAGTTCTTGCACAATGGATGAAATAACCTCGGGACTAGATCCTGACGATCTCATGATGGATCTAGACGAACCCGAGGGATCGGATTTGGAGGAGGAAGACGAGGAACTCATTGATGACCCCATCCCATCCCCGTTTCTCTTATCTTCTGGCCAAGGGTCTACAACCACCTCGGTTGCCTCTTCGCCTATCAATGAAGAATTTCCTCCACCTTTTAATTTTACAGGAAAACCTCTTGGTAGTATCAAGAGAGGTCGTGGAAGACCTAGAAGAGAGGGAGGTAATTAAGAATCTATTAATTTTATTATTACAGGGTGATTCGCAAAATTATATTTTAGGAAAGCCATTTCCCAGGGCTCCTAGAGTTGGGGCAACTGGAATGAATAGAGTGAGAAAACCCAGGCCTCCAGGTCTGAATAGAAGGGGAGGAGGTAGAAGTTTCAGGCAACTTGATAGAACCGAGTTTGATATGGGGCTATTCAACCTGTCTTCCTTAGATGACCACAGTTTGTTGGATTCTGAAGGAGCAATCGTCTTTCCAGAGAGAGACAGACCAAGCCTGGAAGAACCGCCATATTTTCCCGAGCACTGGGCTGGCAAAGTATGTGCTTTTTGTAACTTGGGAGAAAGAAGCCAACTCGGGCAAGGGGAAATGTTAAGGTAATTTTTTCGTGTTATACTCTTTATGCAAGTATCATAACTGTAATTTATGTATTTTTGTTAAAAAATTGGGAGACACAATCTGTTGATGGAAATGTTGTAGAATGTACAGTTTCTTTCATTGAAAATTTCAAGAAACCCTAGGAAGTACTTTTTCGAGCAAAATATTGTTTAAAATAGTCAAGGATTTCGTGGACGTGTACCTATTTTTTGGGTTAAATAGCTGTCGATTATTGGAATTTCTTCAAACTTGAAAATAGCATTTACCAAGTTATCTTCCACCCAAACTTTACATACTTTGATGGCATAAAATTTGAAATTCAGGAAAACCCCCTTTGTTAATAGGGTTATTTTGGTAGATTATTTATATTATAAATTGAAAGGTCTTCACCATACCATCATGTGATGAAGATGCTATTTAAAAGAGGTTTTGGTACAAAATATGAACCCTCAAAATAATTGAATTTTTGACGTGAGATAAAATAGTACAAGTTACAAGAACAAAATTTTGAATTTTCATTACAGAAATTTTACTGAATTTTTTTGTTTTCTAGACTAAATTGCCCAGAAGGATTTTCACCACAGAAAGTTGCTTCTGAACAAAACCTAGCCAGGTCATTGCAGACAGCTGAGAGAGAACAAGGAGACAAAAGCCCCAGGGGTCCTGTTACTTGTCGTAGACAGAAAAGTTTCAATAAGTGCAGACATCCCTCCCTTACTAATGAATATATAGATGAGTTAACCATTATAGGTTACAATGAAGTACCTGAAGTTACTGCTCTTTTTGAACAAAACGGGCAGTTTTACGTGCATAGAAGTTGCGCCCTCTGGTCCAATGGAGTAACTAGAGCAGGTTAGTTGTAATTCATATTGTTAATAATAAAGTAATCTTTGTTGTAACCCAATGTTTTTACTTACAGAAAATTCTGCTCTCTTAAATGTCGGCCCTGTAGTACTACAAAGTTCCTCAAAAAAATGTTCATTCTGCAATCATTACGGCGCTAGTCTTACTTGTAATACAGATGATTGTGCAAAAGTTTTTCATTATCCTTGCGCAACTGCTTCGGGTGCCTTTCAAGATTTCGCGTCACTTACAACTTTTTGTAGCAACCACTTGGACCAAGTTGCTATGCTTTGCGATTGTAAGTATGAAATAAATCATTGTTGATGAAATTTTGTCAATGGTTTGCTCATATTCATATTTTCAGCTGCAGTTTGCTATACGTGTAGATCCATCGGCGATATAGCGAACTTAATGTTTTGTTCTACTTGTGGGGCTCATTATCACGGAACATGTGTTGGTCTAGCTCAATTGCCAGGTAATAAACTTATAGTTGTAATATGTTTGGATGAAAATTAATTTTTGTTCAATCTTACTTCTGTATCCTATTTCAACATTGAAATACATTTTTTATGCACTCTAGTTATATTGTACTCCTTTTTATTAGGTGTTCGAGCTGGTTGGCAGTGTCGAAAATGTCGTTGTTGTCAAGTATGTCGGATTACCGGAGACGAATCAAAATTAATGTCATGTGAACAGTGTGACAAAGTTTATCATGCAGGTTGTCAGAGGCCTATTGTAACGTCAATTCCAAAATATGGTTGGAAGTGTAGGGTAAGATGTTTCATTATCTTCAGTTGTCTTCGAAATTTTCAGAAATTTATTTTGATGATATTGATTTTTCTGAAATGTGTATGTTAGCTCACCTCAGTCAGCAAGTAAAACTTAATTATCAACTATAAAAAAATAGGTGAATGTGCTATTGATATTTCTTTTATTTGTATTTATTGCATTGTGTAAATGTACAAACAAACTGTTCAATATAAACAGCATAAATATAATAAAAAAAGAAAAGAAGTTATGATTGTAAAAGCAGTGCTTTGTGACTTATCCAAAGCTTTTGACTGTGTCAATCACAGCATATTGCTTTGGAAACTCATAAGATATGGTTTTAGGGACAACAGTCATATTTGGATTAGTTCATACCTTTCTGACAGAAAATAATTTGTAAGAACGTCATTTAACTCTGACGTGGGAGAGATAAATTGTGGAGTACCTCAAGGCTCTGTGTTATTTCCTACACTGTTTCTGTTATACATTAATGATTTGACCAACATATTGATTACAGGAAGCTTTACCTTATTTGCTGACGACACCACATTAGTGTGGCATGACAAGGACAAAAACAGATTGCATAACAATCTGCAGTCGGTTTTTGTCTTGCAAAAAAGGGCTATCAGGTACTTATATAAACCAAAATGGCGGGATTCATGTAAACCCCTTTTTCGAGAACATAGAATACTTACGGTTATTTCAATATTCATATTGGAAATCGTGTCAATTATACATAAAAATAGGGAAAACTATGAATCTACAGCTACAGCCATATACCACACAAGGCGGTCAAATGAACTGAGTCTACCAATTCCAAAAACATGTTTGGTTCAAAGCTCGTTGATATATAATGGAATCAGAATATACAATACTACTTCAGAGTAATAGAATTAGCTTCAAGTATGTTATTTACTACGAAAAAATTACTGTGATAGCGTAACATGTGATATTTTTGAACATAAAGTTTCTGAAGATCAAGTCGATAGGTATAGTTTGTGAAAAAAAATTATTTTGGGATTGCGAAGTGAGGTAAAACTTACAAATCACATTTTTGTTTCAACCTATTCATTGCCATTGAATCTGTATAAGGAAACACTGTCTCACAATTGAAAATTTTAGTGTTGTAGAGTTTGTGGCGATTGTGGCTCTCGAACCCCCGGAGCTGGGTTATCTTCAAGATGGCATGCCCACTATACTGTATGCGATTCATGTTATCAGCAGAGAAACAAGGGTTACTCGTGCCCTTTATGTCACAAAGCCTATCGAGCCCACGCCCACAGAGAAATGGTTCAGTGCACCAATTGTAAAAAGTAAGTAATATTTGTTTCAGTAATTAACTCAACATTTAGAGTATGTTCTTGAGCCGTTCTTTAAATAAACGGATTCTAAAGTGATAAAGGTTAGGAAGAACCATCAGAAGAAATTTTTCTGATGACAGACAACCTTTGGTATAGCTGAATCATCTATGAAGGAAATGATTCTATTGGTAGAACTTGGTATTAGTGAAATGAGAAAATATTGTCATTCCGATAAACTGATGCTGAATGCACAGAAAACAAAAATTATTTATTTCGAAAAGAACAATCTGATCAATAGTGAAGTCCTTCAGACACATAGTTTCTAGGTGTAATTATTGATTAATCATTTTCATGGTCTGAGCATATCGAAACTTTATCAAATAAACTCTACAAATCCTATTTTGCAATTGGGATATGAACTTCGTGAGACAATGGGGAACGTTCCTCCTGACAAAAATCAAGTAGTTTTCATAAAAGAGCTCTAAAACATGGCATATTAAACTCATCATTTCAACCTTTTTCTTTAAAAAATTATTTAAATACTTAAAAAAGAGGAATGAAATAATGCATTCAACATTTAAAGGGATTTGTTTCTATTTCACCATTTGGCAACATCGGTTATAGCTAATAAAGGACAATGAATCNTCATATAGAAGTATTTGTTTCGAAAGAATTATTTTCTTTCGTGTAATTCAATGTTTATATGAAAGTAGCTGTTTCAGGAGGACTTTCTTTCAGTTTGTGTCTGAAAGTTACTTCTTTGCATGATCTACACATTCATGTATAGAGTTTCAAATTGATTACTTCCTTCCTTTCTTTGGAAGATTCTCTCATCCCCTTTTTTTTTGTATCAGATGAAGTAGTAGAAAGCCAAAAACTTTCCCAAAAAAATGTATTCATTATTATTCTTATTCTTTTAAATCTACATACACAGTTCAAATTGTATACCTACTTTTTTGATTATATCCACTTTGGATAATTATTGAATAAACATCATTATTATAAGGATATTCCATTTATGAAATAAAGACTTCCACATTATATTTACACAAATTATCTTGATTTATATTAAAATTGTAGGATAAATGTGCCAATACTGTAAATTTTTAGGTTTGTCCACGGTACTTGCGATCCAGAAGCAGATTTGGTAACATATCACCAAAAAAGAGAAATGAATCCGGAGTATGAGTATATATGCCTTCATTGCAAGAATAATAGCGGACGTCAATTAACCACAAAAAGAGCTAGTAAGTTTTGGAGTTTCGTGTATCATGCGACATTTCATTCTAAAATAGTTTTAATTCTTATTTACTTGTGATTTTTCGTAGGTACCGATGATCCTGGAGACCTTTCAGTCTCCCAAGAATCACTGTATGATGACACATCAGAATTTGATCTCCCTTCGCCTGATGAATTTGCTCGAAACATGGGCTTGGGCAAAGGAAAACCCTATACAACAAACAAAATAGCGAAAAAAAGGCTCAGTTTCCCACCAAGTACTTCAGGCCGACCTAAAGGCCAAGGCAAGGTGCTTCCCGGTAAAGTGGGATTCATGAAAAGAGCGAGATTAACAGATTTTGGTCGGAAAAGGGGTCATAAAGCGAAAATGAGGGGGATTTTCGGGGTACCAGGAGTTGGTTTGCAGAGACCTGTGTCCGACGGTAAGAATGATGAAGAACCTGGAGTGGAAAATCGACTAGTTTTATGTTCTGCGAAAGATAAATTTATACTCACCCAAGATACCTGCGTTATGTGTGGCGCTCTTGGAACTGATCAGGAAGGTTGTTTAATAGGTTGTGTGCAGTGTGGGCAGTGCTACCACCCATATTGCGTCAATGTAAAAGTAACGAAAGTCATCTTACAAAAAGGATGGAGGTAAGTTTACAAATATCAATACACTGAAAAATAATTTTGATTTTGAAAATGTTTCGCATTCTCTTTTAAGACTGGGCAACATTATTGTAAAATAATTTCTACATTCTACCAGACACCATTAGTAAGGCTTGTTATTACTTGAGCAAAATTTATATTGAGCAACTGCCTCTTTGTTAAAAACAGAATGATTCTATTAAATGTATTTATAAACTTTCACACTTAGAACCAAGGGGATTATTGAATTTGGATTCACATCATAAATTGGCAATTTGTTCCTTCATTCACCTCATCATAAATGAAAAATACAGCAGTTTAAAATTCATAAATATCACACGAGAATATTTTAGGAATTTTATCCAAGCAAACCAAAATCAGAAATTGGGAAACTTTGCATCTTGCTTAAATGGTGTAATAATTTATCGGTTGCCAGCAAGTTTAAAAACATAAGATTTGTTCTAAAATTCAAAGCACTTGTTAAAAAATATATATTAGATGAATAGTGTTTTCACATTTGACAATGAGGAATGTTCCTCGTGATGAAAATCAAGTAGTTTTTATAAAAGAGCTCTAAAACAACGCATTTTAAACGTATCGTTTCAACCTTTTTCTTTAAAAAATTATTTAAATACTTAAAAAAGGGGAATGAAATAATGCATTCAACATTCAAAGGGATTCGTTTCTATTTCACCATTTGGCAACATCGCTTATAGCTAATAAAGGACAATGAATCTGTTACCTATATGAGACAAACAAAGATGACATATTTCAGAGGCGTGCTGTTCTATTTACTTATGTTCCGAGACATTCTGTGACATATGACATTTTGTGCACCCAACCTATCTTCTTATATATAAATAAATAACAAAACAACTGTTGTTTGTGTGGCTTGTGGAGGTGGTATTGAACTATAATTTATATTTTGTCTTAATTGTTGATTTATAAAGATAATTTTCCTTTTTTGAAGTAGAATATCTAGGTACCTATAAATTATTTCAACTTGATATAGGCGCTGTTGCCAATATGTGAATTAGAAACAAATCCCTTTAAAAATTAAAACCCAACATTTGAAACATCAATTTGAATACTTTTCGAAGTGAATTTGAAAAACTCATGAATTGAACTCAACTTTATTTTGTTCAAACTTGCATTTGCTGTAATAACCCAAATTGTGGAACATTCCCCATTAATCATTGTACCAATTTATATATTTTTGAGCACATTTTGATTTTGAATTTTCCTATTATAAACAGCCAATGTTTTTTGTTGAAATAAAGTTGAGTTTTGAGTTTAAAATGATGTGACAAAAGAAAAGAAATACTTCAAGATGAGATAGAAAATAAAAGACAGAATGGAACCAGAGTTCTGCCCAACGAGTTTAATTCATTTACAGAACATAAAGTAAATTAATTAATGAATAGCAACAGGTAACAGCAATAATGTCCTAATATCAATATTAATAAAATGGCAATTTTTCTTATGTTTTGCATATATTTTTTTCATTAAAAATATAACAACAGAGTACAGTTCAACACATTTAAGACACTATAAATATAATTACTCTTTGTAAATATCCCATCAACTGATTGAAATTTCCCAATTTTTCAGATGTTTGGATTGTACTGTTTGTGAAGGATGTGGCCAACGCAATGACGAGGGCCGTCTCATCCTCTGCGACGACTGTGATGTCTCCTATCATATCTACTGCATGGATCCTCCTCTCGACTATGTCCCTCACGGAAACTGGAAGTGTAAATGGTGCGCTATTTGTCAAACTTGCGGGGCCACGGATCCCGGTTTCAATTGCACTTGGATGAACAGTTGTACTGAATGTGGCCCTTGTGCATCTCACATCACTTGCCCTAGCTGCAGCGAACCTTACAGCGAAGGAGATCTCATAATACAGTGCGTTCAGTGTGAAAGGTGAATTAATTTTGTTTCCTGAATCTGTTTATATTTGGAAACTCAGCAAAGTTTTTGTACCAGTAGCGAGTTGAAAAATAATGTTTTTTCTGAAATTTATATTTTTGTAGATGGTTACATGGCCTTTGTGATTTCATTAAAACTGACGAGGATGCAGAAAAGTGCGCAGAAGATGGCTACAACTGTATTCTATGCAGACCCAGAGATGTACCACCTCCTCATCTAATACCAACTCCTACTGCTCCTAAACCGCCTACCCCGACAAAGAGCCCGGAAATAAGCAAAAATACTAATTATTTCATCGATGGGGTATGCTTAAGTGAGTTTGGAAATAGTCTCATAAAATCCTTAGCAATAGAGAACCACGGAACAAGAAAGAAGAGGAAGAAAATTCCTACCGTTCAAGATAAAGAAGCTGGAATAATGGCAACGATCGAATCTGTAGTTGCTGGTGGAAGTATAGGTGACAAGTTGACTAGTTAAGTTTTGTTCACTGATAATTAATTGTGCTTTTCTGTAGATAACGCCCTGGAAGACAGTGCTAAACTGGAATTGTTGGACGTGAAGGACGAACCTCAAGAAATCTACAAAGAAGGAATGTTTTGGACGAAAGAAGACGGGCCACCACCAGAGGGCTTCACAGTAATCACAATGGATAATGGCATATCAGTCCTTAGACGTAAAAGACAACGTAACTTACAAAAGTTAGGCATTGGAGGATTTTTAGTTAGGATGCGCGGTAACCGTAGTGGACAAGATAACGAGGACATGGACACTACTTGTGTTCAGTCTGCCCCAGCAGTAGGTGACCTTGCGGCTCCTTTACCAACTGATGGCGACAAACCGAGGCGGAAAACCATCAGGAGGAAACCTAAGAGTAAACTAACTGAGACCTTTCCTTCTTACCTCCAAGAGGCGTTTTTTGGTAAGGATCTATTGGAAACGGTGGAGTGTAAGAAGGAGGTAGAGAGCGGAAGCAGCGATGATGAGAACGTTGATAAATACAAGTCCATCAAGTTGTCGCAGGTGAGTTGGGTTCTTGTCTTGCTGGTATTCCCCACGTTGGGTGCCACATTACAAAAATCTTTTTCTAGGATGAGTTGATGGCTGTTGCTGCTGTAACCGCAAAGCAAGATAAAATCGAATCAGACAGCAAAGATGGTGTGAAGGATCAAAAATTGTCCAGCATCATCCCCAAAGTGGAAGAGGAAGACGAAAACACCGAGGATCTGAAAGATGTCCTTGCCTTACCAGGCGATTTGCTTGATACTGATTTGGTTAACAGTATCATAAATGAGGATGACGATGATATTACTAAAAATACTGAGTCGCTAGGAGCTCTAGGTAAGTTAAAATTAGAGAACTCTGCCTTTGAAGTAATTGGTTTCATTTCAGATTCTAGCTTGCCAGACGATACCGAACTGGCCGATACATTAGGCAGTTCAGGAAACTCAAAGGATACCAAAGATGAACTAACTGATATTTTAGGACCCCACTTCAATCTAGATTCTATATCGAACATCAACAGTAAAGATGTTGAAGACATATTTAAGGTCAGTTGATTCCTTTATGGAATTCATTTAGGCTTAGTAACTTTCTTTGATAAGCGTGAATAATATATGGTCCGACTCGAAGGACCTACTTTTTGATATTGTTGAAACAATTTTGCTTTTGTTTTCAGGGAGTTTTAACTGATGAATCACAAGAATCCCAGGAAAGCAATGCTTTTCCTCTACAGGGTAATAATATATTTAGTGGAAATGCTCAACAAGCCTTGCCGCAGCATGGTATTGTTCCTCCTATCAGACCAACAACATTACCTGCTGTGAATCAGTCCAATCTGAATTCTCCGGTCAGCTTTCCCCCACCATCTCCATATCACTCGGAATATAGCAAGTAAGTGAAAACAAAAACTAAAGATAAAAGGTATCATGAAGTCGCAAATATTGAATTTTGATGAATTCTTGTGGCTTTTCCAGTAGCCCGCAATTCAGTCCTGCTTTCTCCGAACCACCAAGTCCTTGGGTAAGTGCGAGTGATCCACCCGAAATTGACAGCACCAATGTCGGTGTTCCTTCAACCTACAATCAGCGTTCTTCTGAAAAAATGAAAGCCGACGAAGGGTTGGGAAAAGGAGCTACCATTTCTGCAGTCCTGTATGCTAATGTAAATCATCCTGAGTGGAAAAAAGAGTTCCCTAGTTGGTCAGATAGGTACAAACAGATAATCAAAAAATGGAGGACTTTGAGTCAGGATCAGAAGGCTCCATTTTTGCAGCTCGCGAGGGATAATAGGAGCCAATTGAGGATGAAGAAGTCCCAACAAGTAAGTGCAGATTTGTTTATATTTTTCAGTATAACTGATTTGCAAATATTTGCTACACGATTTGTTCTTGTCTCGGTAGGCACATTATCTGCCACAGTCAAATATAAACATATTTTACAAAAATTTCTATTGAAATTATTCAAAACAACTTATATGAAGTTGTGTAGATATGAATGAAAAATGATAGTAAAAATAATTATATATCTCATCGCCAGTTATTTGCAGATCAAAAATCTGTATGAAATTTAAATTAATACATGCATTCTTCCAGGCGCCTTCCACAGTGATATTTTTTTTAGTAATTGCTCTTAATTTTGTACTAACCAAGATGACCTAAACTAAAGGTCGTCTCTTAATGTCTCCGACTTGGCTTGTGAAGCATTAGTCAAGACAAATGTTGAGGAAAATTGTTTTTGTTGGTATTATTATTATTAAAGTGTTTAAAATTGAAAGNGACTGTTACTAACACGATGCATTGAGTGTTTACATTTTCTTGTTTCATGAGTATTGAAAAATATGCAGCTTGTATCCATTTTTGTTTTTATAATTTTTTTGTGTCATTTCATTTTAGATGTATTCATATTTCAATGTAACAGGTAGAAAAATGAAGAAATCAACAATTTGTCTTTTGTTCAGCATTAACCTAAAATTAAATTCAAAACTGTCACCTCTGGCTTAGAATAAACTTTTTGAGGTGAACTTTTCATTTTGCCCTTTAATACACTTCGGCAGATCCTCTATTGATTTAGGGTTGTTTATTTTTTTAGATTGTGGAAGGTAATGTACCCAAAAAAACAGGAAGTATTGAGTCCTCCACAAACAAATTTTTTTCGAAGATAGTTTGTTTACTTTCAGGGTGTTCCACACCCACATACCACACAGCAATAGTTGTGCTTCTTATATCATGAAAAGAGCAATTGTATAAAATTACTTTGGATGGTTTATTGGTATTTGAGTGAAAATAGCAAGATAAGCAATTAGCTCAACTTTATTTTGAATAAACCTTCATAATGATTCCCCTATCTCATCGTACGAATTAAAAAACGTGTACAATTTGATATTCATTTTTGTAAAAATCTTCCAAATTGGTTGCTCTTGAATATGAACGATTTCAAGACATAAATAGTTATTATAGTTATATTTTAATGCCTCATAAACTTAATTGCTGATCAATCTTGAGAAAGGCTTCTTACAATTCTAGTGTGCGGGGAAAGTTTTCTATTCTTTTAGGTGAATGCTGTAAACATATGAATATCTAGGGCCAGTAACCTGGAGTAAATATTTATTACCTTGAACTTCAACACGAATACAGACTACTTCATTTTTCGACCGTTATGCATGCGTATTTGTACATCTAAAATGAGCCTATCCACCCCTCTAGAACCAGCCCGCCAAGGACAACACCGCACCACCTCCGAGCGTCATCAAGCCATCCCCAGTTGTAGCAGCTTTGACGACCACCTTGCAGACAGCGATTCAGCAAGCTGCCGCCGCCGCCGCGACCATTGCCTCCCCGGCTTCAGTGTCAGAGGTGTGCACTCAAACGAGGCCAACACTAACACCAGCTTCCACTAGCTCTGTGTCTGTGTCCCCTTCGCCCCCCAAGCACCCCTCCTCGCCCACCACCCATCAGCAGTTCACCGTGCACGGTCATTTCGCCGGGCCGGGGGACCGCGTGGGGCCCGCGCCCAACGTGACCGTCAATCCCCACTATCAGCCCAGCGGCGAGGCTGTTCCCCATCCCAGATTAGTTTCCCAGAGTAATGCCTCTGATCAGCAAATTCGAGTATTGACTCCCTCAGAAATAATGCGTACTCTTCCTTCCCTCTGTCAGGAAAATTATGAACCTCAGCCATTGGTGAGAACCTGTATTCGGTGTGGACTGATTTTCTTTTGTTTTGTTTTTTTGAAAATGCTACTGGGGGTAGGTGTAATTGAAGTTGTGTTTGACTGTAGGAAAGGCGAACGAATTTTCTTGGAATCTGCTTCTCAGAACAGTTTGAAACCATTGAAAAGTAACATTCGGACTCTTCATAGAGTGAGAACATATAATATTCATTCACAAGCATACAAATCGAACAGAAACTATCTCCATAATTGTACTATAGTAAAAATCAACCAGTAAGTCCATTCCCACTACTTTCATTCATAAATTCACAAAGTTCTCGGTGACCTCAAAACGAAGTGTGGAACCAATTTCGTTCTTTTACCATAGGCGTGCGCTCGTATAAAAACGTAATTTAAGGTTATTATAGAATATTTTGTGGTAAATTATTTATAATCAACTACAAAAACTAAAAACAATAATAACAACAACGAATAAACTAAACACAATATCAATTTCCGACCGTTTATTATAACTAATCCCATGCCCGTGGTACCGTCGAATCCTTCGATACTACAGCACTGAAGAACGCGTTGGATAAGAATCTCATCATCCTAAGAGCAGTTGAAGGTCCCCGGCAACTCGGGCGGATTGTACGAGAGGAATATTTCCTTAATGTGAGCCAATTAGGCAGGACAATAATGAATCATGGTATGCTCATTAGTAATCACCAACCAGAGAAAATGAAAAATAATACAAAATATATTAAAATTTTCTTGTATATTATACAGGATGTTTCCTAATTGCGGTAAAAAAAATGTAAGGGCTTGTTCAGGAACTAATTTAATGTACAATGTTCTTGAACATATGTCCGGAAATTATTTTTTTCCAAGATTAAGGGTGTTTAACTATTCTAAAAAAAATCCTTTTTTGTATTAATATCGTAAATATCTGTTGTCACAACATTAGAGGTAACTTGACAAATGGTAAACATTGCAAACAATTAGTTATTGTTTTTTAATGTATATCAAACTAATTGTTTTTATCCGCTTCTCATTTTTATTTTGTTTGTGAAAAACACAGTAAGCTACTAAAACAAATAAAGAGATGGAAATGTTTCACGAAACACAAAATTTAATGTTATATTAAACGTCAGTGGAAGTATATTTTTTGGTCATTAATGTTAGCTAAACTGTGTCCTGTGCCGCCACTGGTAGTTTGTTTCTAATCAGCTAAATGAACTTCTCATCGCTATTAATAACTTTCCCAAATTTCACCAAAATCGAATAAAAATTATTTACTATATCATTATAGAAAAGGATTTTTCAAGAAAAGTTCCACGCCCTATATCTTGGAAACAATGCATTTCCAGAGCCCTGTTTATATGAACTGTTTTCATGAAATTACTTCCTAAAATTTATTCATCGTAATTAGGAAACATCCCGTCCACAGACTGGGCTAAAGAAAAGAAACAAGGCTCTGATCTGTCAAATTTTACTTTGAGGGGAAATCAGTTTCACCCCCCTCCTATCCTGTGGGCAGTGGGGTGCGATCTAACTCTCAAAGGGGATTAGCTGTCAAGTGATAATTTGTTGATGAGAAAATTGATTTCTCTTTTCAACACTACCTACTATATTAAACTTGATGCAAGTGGATATGTTAAGTCAAGACAAGTCAACATGATGAAAGTTTCTAAGAACAGGTTTTGTAAAGTGGAGTTAGTGAAAATTACATTATAAACTTTTCATTTTGACCATGCCTACATGAATGACCTGGTGAGTTACATACCCTTCAGAAATGAATGGCATATCTCAGTTGAGAATCAATTAATGCATAATATGCGTTCAAAGCCGTGACAGTACCAAGCTCCCGTGAAATAATTCTCATTGCATAGCACCCAGAGGAAATTTTATTCTTCAGTTGGTTGACATGCGCTTCAAACTTCAATTTGCTGTCAATAGAAAGGTCCAAAAATTTTGTGCAATCTTCATTTTCAATCATCTCATATTTTAGAGGCATATCTTCTAGAGTACATTTGAAAGTTATTATATTTTCTGGAGACACAACAGGCTCCTTATGATTGCGCTGAAAGTACTTGATGCTAAAAAAAATCAACCGGTTACACCTACTCAAAGTTATCGTGTCCTGTGCGTTTTTTATAATATTTTTTCAAAGAGTTTCTTTTTATTTTGATTGGTTTTGATCAATGTTTGTGTTCATGAGTTCATTGGTTTGCAAGACTGCTGATATTCGAACAAGCATGCAATTACTCTACCATAATTTGAAATTTTTATTTTCAATTATAAATGAAGTAATTGAAGTTTACCCTTACATTTATTCCCTATTACCCAAGTATCAGATATCAGAGCTATTTTGTTTCGTTATGTTGAAGTTAATCCTGTTTCTTCACTTGACATATTCTACTAACACTAGCTTTCGGTGTCGGGTTTTGAATATATGGTTGTGTTTGTTTTTCTCCTTTAGTGTTTTTCCAATTGGTTGGTGTCACTTTTGAATTCTCTTTTCATCGTGAATCTTTACATATAAAAATGAATAAAAGTTACATTCACCAATTGGGAATAATTTCTGTTATATTGTACAATCTTCTCTGTTCTAACAAGCATGGCTATTTTCTTTTACTGTGTACATAATGTTTTTAGTGTGGTATTCCAGCCTATTTTATCTTTTGGGCTTTAATGTTCTGACGTAGATTCTTGGTTCGACCAAAAAATGCCTTCCAATACTTTATCATGCATTTCCGTTTTTTAGGATCAGGACAAGATGGCCCTACAGCAAAAATCTGCTCGAGAGGCGGAACAAGAGAGGCAGTGGAAACAGTTGCAGGCTTTGAGACAACAACAAGCTCAACAACAGCAACACGTTATCCATGAACAACGTGTTCAAGGTACTGGTATGTCAAAACTTCCTTTTGTATAATTTTTGAATTTGTCTGCAAGAATTTTTTACTCTGGCTTTATATTATTATTAGTGGGGGTGGCCTGGTTTCTCTTAATTGGATTACCTAACCTTGTTTGTGTACCTCTAAGGACAGGTAGCCAGACCTGATTGATGTTCATTGCATCTTCTTTTACATTGAATTTATCCCTGTTTCTAAATTTCTATGGGATAGTAATTTTGAGTTTTATCGAGTATTACTGTATGTTTGAATGGGATAATGTGAGTGTCTTCTTTGAGAGCATGCCGGTTTGTCCGAGTCAACAATTTATCAGAGAGACAGGTTCCTACACTGCTGCTTGAGACTAATGAGTTCATGACGACTACTCTGCAATGTAGTCAGTCTATGATATGAGTTAATGTGAATCTCTTTAAATGCACTTTTCTGCCAAACATTAAAACTACTGTTTTTGGATTCACTATATATTGAATTACTATAAATAATGTTTCACTATTCATTCATTGTCTTCAGCATATGCTAAATGTTTAGAAATCGATTATGAATGCTGAATCACTAGTAAATCTCTGAATTATGACTAAGTCATTCAGAGTGATTGCGAAACGAAAATATATTTTCAGCCATTGCAAGAGTACAACGTCAAATTTCTTCAGATCCAACACAACAATTCCTCTCGGACCAGCAAAGCCAGTTGCAGGCGACGTCGCCTCAAGAACTCGTTCCAGCAGCTTCGCCCTCTCCAAGCATCAGACAATTTCTCGGTATTAAATCTCCAACTTTTCCTCCACCCTCACCTCTACCACAATCTAACATACGACCTCCTACACCATCCCAATCACCACACGATTTCACTCAAAATTCTCCCGTAGACGGGAACGATCCTTATGCTCAACCTCCCGCCACTCCTAAACCCACTTTTCAACCTAGGTTGGCAGCTGACGTATTTGCTCATCAACAAGCCACGCCGAGGCCGCAGTTTGGAGTACCGAGGCCAAGTCTCCAGGTAGGTTTTTTTTAACAGATAACACCATTTAAAATTTATTTATTTACGGGTGAACCCCAATATTTGTTTACAATAAATTGTGTAACAATAAAAGCTTATACTATACTATACTAATTATTATAAATACCTTTATGTGTGTAACAAAAGACAATAAAAACAGACAGTATTAACTAATAAAATACATTTATATGACTAATGAGCGAGAGACTTGTTTTTTAAAAGTATTTTGATTATCACAGAAAAAATTGACTTTATCACAGTAGTTATTTTCCAGTCTCAACATTTCAGATAAAGGAGAATGATAACCATAGTTGGTTGAGTGATACGGTGTAAAAAATAGCTTTTTTTGTCTAGTGGACCTCTGTGGAACATTGAAGTTGATAAGAGATATAATTTCCGGACAATCAACGAGACCAGATATAATTTTGAATAGATAAACCAATGTCGCAGTTGTTCTTCTATCCTCAAGACTCGACAGAGATAATATACTCATCACTTCACTGTAACTGTATTCACCTAACCAACCCTAGTTTGTATGCCATGGTCCTTAGAAATTTATTTTGCACATTTTCTAATTGTTGTTTATACTTATGGTAGTAGGGACTCCAGATGATGGTGTTATACTCTATGATAGGGTGTACTAAAGAGCAATATAATACTTTGGTTGTGAATGGAGAAAGATTGGTTGATGATCTCACAATAAAGCCGAGCATTTTTAGAGCTCTCATAGAAACAGAATTCACATGGTTGTTGAAACAAAGCTTGGCATCTAACAATATACCCAAATCCTTACACTCTTCTTTACATTCCAACATTTCATCATTCAAAAAATATTTAAATTTGATTGGTGATCAAGACCTACTGAACATCATTGAGTAGCATTTCTTTGTGTTGAGATAAAGACAGTTTGCTTCACATCAATCAGAAATGGAGTTTATATCACTCTGAAGAAGATTAGCATCATGGACACTTTCTACAACCTTGAAAATTTTCAGGTCATCGGCAAATAACAAGATTTTTGAATTAGTGATATTTGAGCTAATGTCATTGATAAAAAGGCAGAACAACAAAGGGCCACAATGTGATCCCTGTGGTACACCTGATTTTACAAAAAGATTCTCTGAAACGGTACTATTCACTCTAACTGATTGAGAGCGTCCAATTAGATAACTGCTTATCCAATCTAGAATGTTACTGGAGAAACCAATGACAGATAATTTTTTTATCAATAAGTTATGGCTGACCCTATCAAAAAGCTTTTGAGAAATCAGTGTAGATAGCATGTACCTGCACAGACCTCTCAAGTGCTTGTGTTATATAGTGCTGATAATACAATAAGTTTGATGCTGTGGAACGTCCGGATGTAAATCCATGTTGCTCTTGTAAGATCAAGGGTCTACAGTCATTCATTAATATTTTGGCAACAAGCTGATCTAAAACTTTTGGAATAGCTGATTGAATACATATTCCCCTATGGTTTTCAACTTTTTCTTTCGATCCACTTTTATGAATAGGGCAGATGAAGCTCCGTTTCCAAAGATCAGGGAACGTGCCACTGGTCAGTGATTTATTGAATAAAATGAAAAGAGGAGTTGATAAAGTATATACACTCTGTTTAAGGAAAAATGAAGGAACACCATCAGGTCCACTCAAAAATTTTGATTTCAAGTTACATATAGTTTCAAATATTTTTGCTAATTCTAATGTACAAAATGATAAATCATACAAGAATTGTGTAGGATCTGGATCAGATTCCACGTAAACTGTAAAAAAGAATCTAGCAAACAAGTCGACGGTACTCGACATATCAGTAGACATGTAGTCATTATAAGTCATTGCATTTGGCATATAACTGGTATTTTTCTTATCATTAACAAATTTCCAGAAACCTGCTGGGTCATTAATTAAGTTATTTTCAACATGTTCTAAATAGGTGTCATAGCAAACTTACGTAAGAATTAATGCCATATACAGTGTGACACACTTAGGTAGTACAGTTGTCCCTGTGCCTAAAGTTAACAACGCAAATAAAGCCTTCAACTTTTGTCCCATAAACACTCTGCCTCCTTTAGAAAAAGTATTAGAGTTAGCCGCTTATAACCAAATATGCACATATATCAAAGACAACAACCTTTTGATGGATCAGGTTTTAGATCGCAACACTCATGTGAAACTGCTCTTCAACTCACCTTGTCTAAATGGAAACTGTCAATTGATGACAATAAATATATATAGTAGCAGTATTTTTGGATTTCAAAAGAGCGTTGGAAACTATAGATATATCTATTTTGCTATCAAAATTAGAGTATTATGGAATAACTGGTAGGGTGTTGCTATGGTTCAGAAGTTATTTACTCAACAGATCTCAATGTACTAAAATAAACAACGTTCTATCAAGTCAAAAAGCAATTGATACCAGGGTCCCCCAAGGGAGTGTACTTGGCCCTGTTTTATTTATACTGTATTTGAATTACATAAATTTTATTAGTGACTGTGAATTCATCAATCTCTTTGCAGATGATACTCTCATTGCAGCAAGCGACTCTGATATTCATAATGCTGTACGCAAAATTAATTTGACTCTTGAAAACGTTGTGAAGTTTTTGAACATAAACAAACTCAAACTGAATACCACTAAAACGAAAGCTATGATATTGACAACACAATATAAATATAACTTAATTAATATCAACTCCATTAATATTGAGATCTACGGCGAAACTATAGAAATTGTGGAAGAATCCAAATACCTGGGCTTCATCGTTGATAACACTTTGAACTATACATTTCCAGTATATTTGTAATAAAATTTCTAAAAAAATGTTTTTCTTTACTAGAATTAGTAGACAATTAACATTCCAGTCTAATTTGACTGTTTATCAAACAATAATCCTACCACACTTTGATTACTGTGCTACTTTGATATCATTACTAGACGGTAATTCTATCTCTACTCTACAAAAATTACAAAATAGAGGAATATTATATGATTAATATTCTGAATTGGATGACAGTAAAAGATAGATTACAATATATGTTTACCAAAGCTTTGTCAATAAGAAATTCTCTTTGGACAATTAAGCATATTATTATTATTATCAAATAAGCGGTTATCATAAAAGAACACAAAGCAATAATATTGATAAAACTGAAAAAGGTGTTAATAAAATGAATATATAGACAGATAGTCGTGTTAAAATATTTGTATAATTGAAGTTATTATTATTTAGGCTTTCCCTAATCAAGTACGCCCTGGTCAGCAAGATCTGAGACAGCTGAGGGACCTCTTACAGCGGGAACAGTTCAAAAAGTTGGATGAACTCATACCTGGTAAAGCGCAGCAAAGAGTCTGGCCCCCCAATGAACAACCAGAAGGAGAAGTCCCTACGACTGTGGTTTCTTCTTCTGACACCACTTTCAGACAACCTTTACCTCCCAGCGTAGTAAGACCAAGAATGGCAGTTTCGTTAGGGAATCGTGTGATTCCCAATCCCAACACTATTAGATTGAGTCAGATTGATTCTAGATTGCAAGGACTTGATCCTAGAATGAGGTTGATACTGCAGCAGCAGGTAACAATTATAAATTCAGCTATTTTCTTTCTTCAGTGTGACTCATTAAGATTGGAAACGCTCCTGTAAAATTTCAGTCAGTTGATGAATCAAAATTTTGGGGTGTTTTCAGTCTAAATGAATCACACTATATCAGAAATATTCGTTTTCTAATATTACCACTATTTTTTTTTTTGGTTCTACATATGTTACACATCTCTTTAGTTAATAACTTGAGGTTTAATGCCTTTCAATTATAGCAGCAGAGGTTGATCCATTCAAACGTTCAACAAGGAATTCAGCAACAGTTTGTTCGTTTTGCTCCTGGGGCACGTCCTGCCTCTGTCGAGCAGTATGAGCAACTTCTGCATAGGCAAGCACAGTCTCAAATTCGTGGGTCTGATCAAAGTATCGTACCCCGCTTGCCTCTGAATCAAGCAAGCGTAATACAAAGACCTCAGGCCAGTCAACCTGCGCAGGTTCCGCCTAACTCGGGCATAACCGACAACAATACAAATGAAGAAGGCATCCCGGATAATGTTACTGCGGAGCTGGAGAAGTTGGAACAAGAGACAGGTACGTTATTACCATTAGTACAAAAATTTATATACTGTAAAAGTATAATGTAAAGTTCAATCTAATCATGTCCTCCGAAAGTAAATTGAATTTCTGTTCATTACTATTATTCTTGTTCTGAAATTTTAATATACCTAGAATGGATTAAAAGTTGAATATATTTCAGTATTCTGATTCAATATAGATACTTTTTTTATTGCTTGTTCATATTTCAGTCCCCATACTAAAAACCTAGTTTTAGACATAACTGAAACTAATAATAATAATCTTTACTGAAATAGGAAACCTAATATATACATATCTATGAGTGTATTAATAACACTAGCACAATGAAATACATATAAAAAAAATGTATGTTAAAAATTTCAAATTTGAACAATTTGAGATTTAAACTAGCATGTAGCCAGACAATGAAAATTGCATATAAAGATTTCAGTATCGTATGTTAAGTACCATTTAAGTCTAAAAATACAGCAATAACATATTTCTGGCTATCCAAGTTGATTTTAATATTACATATTAAAAAATATGTTTTTCCGTTAATCAGCTGTCGCCCCCATATGAACGACAACTCTCAGAAGTTGAGAAACTTGTGCGAGCTAAGGACTAACGAGGTCTTACCTTTTAACGTGTGATTCCTAACCATATTGTGAGCTGTAATGCTGTTTCACATGAGAAGTTTTTACAGAAATTGATTATCAAAATTGAATTTTTAGTGATGTGATGTAATAACTGATCATATACAGCAACTTCCAGAATTTTTTCACTTATCTCCTGATGGTTTTAATTTTTGATAATAATGGAAATTGAAATGCCTCATTTTAATAATCAACATAAACAAATGAATATAATTTTTAGGGACGATGGTCGAACTTCAAGGCGTTAGTGACATCCTTGGGGGATTAGGAGATGACGATGATGAGCTTTTAGCTGAAATGGGAGCTGACTTCAACATTCTCGAATATGCCGATCCTGAATTGGAGGCCCTAACGGGCGGAAAGACTAATATTCTTGATATAGATCTGGAGGAGGAATCCCTTAAGAAGGAAAATAAAGCGGGGGCTCCTAAAACGGCCGTGCCAGAACAACCTCCAGCAACTGGCGCTCCAGAGATGTCACTTATGAAAAAAGAAGGGCTCACACAAGTAGCTCCGCAAATACAAGCTCAGGAGCCTTTGGCGGCTCCTTCTGCTCCACCACCACCCCTTTCTGTGCCTCAGTCGCAGAATGTTCATCACGTTTCAACCCCCAATACTCCGCAGGCGGCTCCTTCACCGCACCCTGTCGCTCATCCCCATCCACTGTTGACTCCTCAGCAAATTCATCAACAAATGATGCACCAGGTAAGTGTTACGAGGAATACTTTCTCTTGATTAACCTGTAAAAAATATGTATTTTAAATTGAGTAACAATCGCCCACATGGAACCCGAAATATAAATTCTATAAGAAGTGTAGCTATGCATCTGGAAACGTCCAAGCAAATTAATTTTTTATAATATCACAGATTGTAAAAGTTTGGTCCGATAGTCATTCAGTTTGAACAGTAATCTTTTGTGGTATACACAATGCAAAGAGTCACTGAGAAATTGCTGTTGGAGCATGAAGCGTATTAGCTATTTCACAATCATTTTTGATGCAATACGCATTAGATAAAAATTTGAGGTCTCAACAAAACAAGCGGATCAGCTTTCTCTGAATGTGCTGGACACAAACCAACTCCAAACATGAGCCCTGAACCTAAATAATTGGTAAGGAACTAGACCAGGAGTACTGAGAACAGGGAAGATCTTTTTGAAGAGACTCAAGTATAGCTTCAACAGAGCAGGGATTGTCTCAGAATAGTTATAAGGCTAATCACTGGACAGTATCCATTTAGAGGACACCTGAACAGAATAGGGTGTTATAATAAACACCTTAGCCGTAAGCAATGCAACAAAGAGGCAGAGAAAGCTTGTGATGTTTTATGCGAATTTAAGATACCGATCATGGGAGGCGAACAGTTCATTTGCAACCCAACTTATGTACAAAAGAATATGATAAACATCTAACAGAGGAACAGAACAAACTAATACAAAGAAAAATATTGCTGGTATGATGAAAGGGTGGGAAGAAAAACACAAGATACTGCAGTGTTTTCCGGAAACTTAGAAGAAATAGGCAAGTTGGATGACTTCCAAGCAGTGGGTTTTACTGTTAATCCAGCTGTTCTCTCTTCCCATACTAACGACAACCCTCAAAAAGCAAAATTTGTTAGCTCTAGCACAGCTAGGTGATAATAACCCCTCGTTGAGGACAATTACTTTCAAAGTTTCTTTCCTCATTGCTACCTGGTTCCCGAATAAAAACACCTGACGATGTCATAGGTATTATAATGCCGGACAAAACCATTCAGCTTCAAGTACCTCCTAGTTATCAGCAAAGACTTCTACTATTTCAGAGTAAGTGGAATCCCTTCGGAGTTATTTAGATTTTCAATTAACTTTTCATTGATTCTATAGTTCAAAATCAAAAAATGGGTATGCGCTTAGGACAAGCTCCGCCCCGCATGCCAGTCCCAGCAGGCTCAAACCAGCAGATGCCTACTGGAATGGGAGCTGGGCCAAGAGGGCCTGTTATAGCTCCCCCACCACCTCCTTATCCGGGACCCCCTCCCCCATATCCGGGCAATGCTGGACAACAGCATCAGCAACAGGTAATGAAACTTTACAGACTTTTTAAGCATGTGTTTTTTTATGAAATTTTACATGTGTGTTGATTCTGTTGGATTTTTCATAAATGTCCTAGATGATGATTACCTGCTCTACAAGGAAACTGAGTTTTTTCAAAACATGAAAGATTATTTTTGTTTATTTTCTATACTTACTACATCTACCTCTCTGGAGTTCCTCTCATTTATTTGAATCATCATTATGCCATACATTTTTTATTATTTTGTACCAAACATATAGTGACTTTTTTTATTTTTTCTATTCAGTCCAATTTTACCAGTACAGTAGAATCTCGCTAATCCGGCACTATTAAAAACAAGAGGGTTCCGGATTATTGGAATGTTCGAATTACTGGATTACAGAGAAAAAATCATTATAAATAAAATAGTGTTGTGTTTCCGTTTACTTGACATTTTCAACTACATACTATTCTAACTTCAAAACAACGGATAAACACGTATGCACATGCACGAGATAAGTTTTGAGGTTAGACTTCTAGACGACGACGCGGCGAGGAAGTGCATAGGGGAAGAGGGGTGGGAGAGGCGCAGGCGGAGGGTGTCGGATTATTGGACATATCTGTCTATCAAAGTGCCTGATTAGTAAGATTCTACTGTATTTATTTTTATCATTTTGTTTTTAAACACTCAAGTTTTAGGTCTCTAGCACTACATTCTTTATTGTTTTTTGTATTAAGGAATTCAGTGAATGAGTGTAATGGATTCTATTATGTACACATTCTCAAAACATTATCTGAAAATATTTCTTTGAAAAACTCATGAATGTACCCTACAGATATAATAAAAATAGTAATAGAAATGAATCTAAATATAGAACCTAATCATCAACTTGATGTCACAACTTCAATGTGCATACAGTAAATATAACAGAAACATTCTAACAGTCAATTATATTAAAAGTAAATCAATAAATGATGCCCCGATTTTTATACAGGGCTATTCAAATTCGTTTCTGTACATGGGGATCTCGTAAACGATAAGAGATAGAGTGTCGGTTGAATTGTGGCGAAGTTGTGTATTTTAGAGACCTATTCAATGATGTAAAGGAATCGAATATAGCTCTTTTGGTTCTGGAGATATACAGGAAAAACCAAAAAATCCCAAATTATTTTTTTGCCTATATCTTCTTTATTCGCANCGGGTATGCCATTGCAAAATATATACTTAAGATTTTTTTTTATCTACAAGCAATTTCATCTGCTTAATCGCGAAGAATGCTGCATTAAGTTTCTTGCATACCTCATCAATATGTAGATCCCAATTTAAAGATGCATCTAACATGGTTCCTAGAAATTTAACATCATGTGCCATGGCTATTCCATCAGTTATATCAACTCCATCTGGATTATTATTTTTTCTATTATAAACTTTCATCGAAACAGATTTGGAGGTATTTATCAAATGATTGCATTCACAACATGACGTAAATCTATCAATAACCTCTTTTACTCTTGTTAATACACCCAGTGATTGTCATTGTGGTATCATCTGCAAACATAGTTATGTGGCAATTGTTAACATGTTCTGAGAGATCATTAACAAATACCACAAAAAGTAAAGGTCCCAGTACTGATACATGAGGAACTCCTAATATCACATCATGTTCCTTGGACACAATATTGTTATATTTGACTGTCAAATGCCGACCACTCATATAGGATTTTATCCAAGTCAGTATGTTATGTGGAAACCCAAGCCTCTCTAACTTTATATATAGAAAATCTGATGAAACAGACAGATTGGATGTGGACAGATTTTCAATATGTCTGCGAATAAAGAAGATATAGGCAAAAAAATAATTTGGGATTTTTTTGTTTTTGCTATATATCTCCAGAACCAAAAGAGCTATATTCGATTTCTTCACATCATTGAATAGGTCTCTAAAATACGCAAGTTTGTCATAATTTAACCGACACTCTATCTCTTATCGTTTACGAGATCCCCATGTACAGAAACGAATTTGAATAGCGCTGTATATGAAATACTTTTTACCTACATGTTGACAAATTTCGAAAACATAGTGCAACACTTTTGTGTTGTGGTATAATTACCTCTATATATCCTTAGATGATTCTACAAAATGTTCATAAAATAAAAAGTAAATAAATATAGTTTAAAAAACTAAAAAACACGCTTTTAAATAACATCAAACTAAAAAGTTAAAAATAATTTTTTTTAAATAAGCTTAAAACAGTAACAAACGAAAAAAACAGTATTATTGTGAAAAAAAGCGACGGGCGCTTGATATACAAAAAATATGGCACAAAGCGCTCACACTTTTTTCACAATAATACTAGTATTTTTCGTTCGTTATTGTTTTAAGCGAACTTTTCAGTTCGATGTTCTTCAAAAGCATGTTTTTTAGTTTTTTAAACTATATTTATTTATTTTTTCAACACGCCCTTATTAGCTTCACCTGTATGTATATATGTTTGTTTGTTTGCTTGTAACTCTCATTGCTTGATCTATTCGCGGGCAGATGGCGCTGTACGTAACCTCCTAGAAACATGTTAGTATAGCTATTTTTTTATTTTTATATTAGGACATGTCCTACTAAATAAGTTCTTCTTCTATATCGACATGATTGCTTGATCTATTCGCGGGCAGATGGCGCTGTACGCAACCTCCTTGATATAATTCGAACTCACTTTACATGTATTTCTTCTTCGCCTGCCGGCTTGGCCTTGGTAGCTGATTTTCAGGCTTCCTCTCCGGAATAAAGGCAGCAGGCGCGCGTGTTAAAAAAAAAAATACTTTTTTCAAATGAAGAAATACGTGTAAAGTGAGTTCGAATTATATCAAGGAGGTTACGTACAGCACCATCTGCCGGCGAATAGATCAAGCAATAATTTCGATATATCAAGGAGTTACGCACAGCGCCATCTGCCGGCGAATAGATCAAGAAGTAATTTCGATATATCAAGGAGGTTAAGTCCAGCGCCATCTGCCCGCGAATAGATCAAGCAATAATTTCGATAATTCTGTCAAATACAGATCACGAGCTTGAGAGTTACAAACAAACATACATACATATAGGTGACGCTAATAAAAGTGTGTTAAAAACGAAACATCTCCAATCGAATGTACCTACGTAACCCGCGAAACATTCGCCTTATTTTTTTATCCTCGTATATCTGCCAGAAGCACCTATTTAATATAATATAAATTTCTCTTGAATATCTCAAATAAAAACTTAAAACTTCACTATTCCATTATTCAAATCATTAGATCTAAGATTATTTGTCCGACTACAAACTTTTTTTTATATAATTTTTTACTTCTTCAAAGCCATGGAATTGTGACGTCAAACTGTGATTTTTTTTGTGAATACGCATTCAGTACAGAATTTATAGAGGTTGTAAAAGTGTTCCGATAATTTCCTTTATCTTTATACTTTGCTTTATCAGAAATAAATAATTGACGACAGTAAAAAATATATTCCTTAGTTCTATCAATGCCTAAAACCCAAATTCCAAAGTTGATTAATCGTTGAACATGGTAACACTGTAACACTAACCCACGGTTTGGTTGAGGTATGGTATTATTAATTGCATGTGTATGTGGTAGACGGGATTGAGAATGGGGCCTGGTCTTCTCCCATCGGGACACTTCCATCCCAGTACACTGCAGGGTTTTCCCATGCATCCACATTTGCAGCGGAGACCTCTTCTCCTTGAGGTGAGATCTGCACACACATACAGATTCCTGAATTATTATCCTTGCACTCATTCCTCTGCTTTACCACCCATCGAGGATTTTCCTGTGCTTTTCATACCGAGTGATCTCAATATGTAAAGTATCCATTATATTAGAAGAAATTTTCAAGCAGGTTGTTTAAATCTGTCGAATCGGATCTGGGACCACATTTTGTTATTATCCACATTTAATTGTTTATAATTTCATAAAAATTAATTATTCAATTTGCATTCTACAAGTTGAACCTATTACTATTAATATTTTGAAAGCCTCCACATTTTGTAAAGTTACACGTTCCACAATCTAAAAATAAATTGTAACAGTGAACTAAAAAGTTTCTTCTTTCCTACATATCTCCACAATTTTTATTCTTTTCAAATTGTAAAATATGAAAATTCTCAAAAAGGTACATAAAAATTCATAAGACAGTTTTGATCTGCCACAGAACTCTTCTACTCCTAACAATAACAACCATTTGAATGGAGTATGACAACTTTTTCTAGAACAACGCCAAATGGGATTGTCAGAAAATGCAAACCCTGTTCATCCATCATTGCCTGCTTGGCAGTGAAAGCTGCAGAGAGACAACACGCGATTTCCTATTTGGCGGTCGGTAGTTTGGATTCGAAACAGAAAGGATTTTGAGTTGTTTGTCGATCCCATCGATGTTATTTTTGTAGTGGAAGTCAATTTTCATTGTATCTGTATCTGAGACGTGACAAAACATTGATGACGGTTGTTGAATGGCATAAAGAAAACACAACAGTACTCAAAAATAACCCTACATAAAATTGACTATACCTCCTTTTGGGTTTTCTCATTTGAAATATTTGGCACAAGAGCCTATTAGAAATATTTTTTGACGATAATGTCATGTAATTGAGTAAACTTAAAAGAAATGTGGAACTTTTCTACATACTGAAATCACTCGGCAGTTTTGCCAGTTACATCCTCCATATTATACTTAGGGCGAAATCACAGGCTTGCAAATCAATTTTATCAAAAAAATTCTTACGGATATGTTCACCACAACAAAAAACTTACCTTTTGTGCATGAATTGGGAAATTTGCCATAACAAAGAAAATGGTACTTATGAAAACAAATAAATATTAAGAAGAATAATTGTTTTTTAATATAAATATTCTGTTTGAAACCATTTATTCATCTTTAAACTAATTGGGAGTTTTACTAAAAATATGAGTTGAGGTAGCGGGACTCAGTCTTTCATTGATTCATAGTGTTTACCTGAAAATATGTTTTTCAGTTTCATATTTGTGCTTGAAATTTTAACCTGGAGAAATATGTTGTAGTGGTGTGTTTCCTGACCAATTGAATTGAATTGAAAGAAACTAAATTAATTTGGGTTTTTTTATGAAAACTTGTACTTTGATCTTTATTTCAAAAAGGTAATACCTGCTTTCTTAAGTATGCTTTCACTTCACAATACACTCTTATAGTTAGTCAATTGCCAGCAGCATGTAAAACAAGATAAAAATCGTTAGCCATTTTGTCTCAGTTCTCAATGTTATGTTTTTGGGGGGTATTGAATTTTCCATTAATTCATATCACTTTTTGCTCATATAATCACTTCGCTATTCACTGAAAGGGTCACTGTCAAATCATGTATGGAGCTCCGCCCCTAACCATACCCTGAAGCTACTGGATTCCATCCAGAAAGGAGCAATCCGCCTGATTGGAGAGGCGAACATCACTTGCAACCTTCCGAAGAAAGGTTAAAGATATGTCTCTCTTCTATAGATTCTTTCACGGGAAGTGTTCAAGTGACTTGGCACATTTGATTCCACCAAGAGCGGTACATATCAGAAATACGCGACGGACTGTGGCTGCTCATCGTTTTGAGGTTCAACTCAGTACACCTCGAACTCCACTGTTTCAGAACGTTTTCATTTGGAGAACTGCTTTAGGTGGAATAAATTTCCGAATGGATTCAATATCCAGCGATTCAAATCAATGTGAATCAGTACTTTCGCACAGGCACCGCTCTTAGAATGCCTTGAGGATTTTCCTGTAGTGCTTGTGTTTTGTCTTAAAAAAAACTTTTAGGCTAGTATTGCAACAATGATTTTATGTTAATAATTTAGATTGGGATGTGACAACAGGTTCAGGTGAACATTATAAAAACTTAAATTTCAAATTATATTCTTAAGATATATGTAAAAATCACAATAATGAATGGTATCATGGATTGTAGGTCCCTGAATTTTTAGGGAGCTATTCAATACTTCTTGAAAATGTATGAATTGCATAGACTTGAAAAGTTAGTGTTATTCGTCAGTTGTAGGTGGTGCAAAGAAAAATCTTGAAATAGTGAAAACAATAACTTAAGTAGGAGGGAAGAAATTTTCCAAAAGTTCTTGTATATAGAAAAAATTCAAAAGAAAAATATGTTTGAGTTTAACATATCTTCCACATTTATATCAGCTTTTCAGTTCATTGGTCTATCGGGAGTTGTACACTCCATCCTCTGATTTTATTTATTTTTATTATTCTTGTTATACTTTTGCTTGTATTTTCAAAATGTGATTGTTATAACAGTATTATGTATATTAGGATTCCTATATTAATAAAATGCTCTTATATAGCTCTTATAATTTTACAGTACGTCATGTATTATAATTTGATATATTCTTGAATATTTTTAAGGAATTTACATGTTTTCATCAGGTAACTTATTAAAGCTATCTAGACCTTTAAAGAACAATGAATTCATTCCACTCTTATAGTTTGTTCGGGATATATAAAATGTATTATATGTTTTTGTATTATACGAATGAAGGTCACTATTTCGAACTAAATATCCGCTAAGATAGGTTGGTTGTATCCCACTCGTAATTTTGAAAATAAAAATCATACTCAAATAATACAGTCTTTTATGTACCGGCTGCCACTGTATTCAACATAGATTCAATTGGGGTATACTGGTTATATCTCAAAATAATTTTTATACTTCGATTTTGTAGTTCCTGCCACTGTCCCATTTGATTCTGGTTGAATAGATACATCAGTGTGGCACAGTAGTCAAAGTGTGGCCTTTTTATGCAGTTGTAACATGTTAGTCTAGCGAAGGTTGATAAAGATTTTGAAATTCTAGACAAAAATACATTTTCTTACATATCTTTCTAATGGTATATTCAGCATGCTTATTAAAATTGATTTGATGGTCTATAATAAATCCTAGGTACTTAATTTCATTCACAAACGCAATTAAACCCTATCAGAATACATAACCTTGAACTCTAAGGAGTCTAAGGGAAGGTAGATGTTTATCGTCTCATGAACCCATGACAAATGGCATGACAAAATAAATCGCCTTTTTGATTGGAATATGAATTTTTTTTCTATTTACCTGTCCTATTCGTTTATGCGGAGTTTGGTTATTAAAGATGACAGTTATAATTAGTATCAGCAACAGCTAATTTGCGGACAAACAGATATTTTTACCAGATATAAATTTATGTAAGCTATTCAAGAACCCTCGGAAAAATCATCCCCCGCCTTGAGTTATTGTTTTCACTTTTATAAGATTTTCGCTTGCACCACTTATAACTGGCAGTATGAGGCAGAAACTCATTTTCTACTGCAGGACTATGCATTACACCTCTTCAAGAGATATCAAATGATATCCTAAAAATTCAGCTTGGGCTTGCGGTCTTTTATACTAATTCACTCTGCATGTGTTTGAAAAATCATAAGTGAACAGGCATCTCTTATAGAAAATATATGAAAAGCTAGGTAAATATGTCAAGTTTCAGACACAATAATTATTCAAGGTCACGATTCCTGCATTGAAGAGAATGCAGTTGATACATTTTTCGTGCTGTTTTTCATACTGGCAGGTAGTGGTCTTTTGCTTACTTTTCTAGATCGCACCGTAATTTAGAACGAAACATCTATTTGAACTCTATCGATTCCTCATTCTCAAACCTTTTGTAATGTTTTTGAGTATTTTTGCTTGTGATTCTTGCATGTCAGAAAAACTCGCCAGCATATTTTTCGAGTTTAACAAAATTTTGTCGTTAAGGAGCAGCCTCTTTTATTGGAAGATTTGCTTGAACAGGAAAAGCGAGAACAGGAAAAGTTGCAAAACCAGCCGCCCAATCAAGAAGTATCCTCCTCCACAGGAGCAGACAATGAATCAGCTATGCTGAGTGAACATGAATTAGACCGGTTGAGTGACGTTTTCAACGGTGGACATGTTGGCCCTCCCAACCAAAATTCTCAAGGTGAGTTGTTTTTAGTTTATCCTCTATAATATGTTGCGAGTTTTGTTAACAAATTTTCATTTTGGAATTAAAAACACAAGTTTATCAATATTTTTCTTGGCATCAGACAGCTTCCAAGTCACAAAACACAAAAAAAAAACTCGAAAAGTTGCTTTCCTAATGAGAACAATATTTTTTACTGGGAATACGATAAACTAGTACATGTTTTCCCTCAGACTAAGAATGAGAAGCTACTGTATAGTGAAACACTTATCGAGGTTTTGTGAAAAGATGTCATTCAAATACGTTATCATAGATTTCTATCAAGTATTGATCAATTCCATTGCATAGTCAGTAATGTTACGTTTTTCCCGTGGGTTGACCGATAATCAACTACACTGAACAATAATAAAATTTAACTTTATTTCACTTAAATGCAGCAAACACTTCAATGTCTATCGCCTTACCAGATCGCTTCGAGTACCGTATTGTAACTTCCACTTGACTGTCTCGATGGGGGAGTGGATGGCGCTTATTTTTGGCAATCGAAGGCGCCGGAACATTCCTCGGAATTCCATTGAAGCAGGTAGCATTATTTTCGCTACATCTAGAACGGCAACGAACATCGTACATTCGCGCGCTTTTAGCTACGTCACAATTGGTTTATGGCTACCAGTGGCGGCCGGCGTTATTTTTTTTAGTGCATGATTTACAACAGTAACTTCTTATGTAATTATCCATATTGTGCTACAACACTAAGTAACTATCAAGAACAATTTATCTTTATAAGAAATGCGTTATTTAGATGACCGAATTCTTTGGGCTTTCAAATCAGTAAAATATGATAATTTACAAGTCTTCTGTCAAAGTTCTGGTTGATAGTTAGGACATTCCAAATTATTGGCGATCTCAAAGGATAATTTTAACTAGTCTACAAAAAAATACTTTCAACAGATCAATTCTAGATTTAAATTACAGCCTGTATTTTTATTCACTTGTGATCTATTAATTGATGCGATATCCACCCCTGGACTGACATTATTATGAAGGAAAACAGTCCTTTTGGCATGTTGCGTCTTTTGTTTCGTATTTAGCTACCAAATTCAGTTGAGGTCTCAAAATATTCGTGTGATAATCTCAATCATGATTACACCATTGAAAAGTCTAATTTGAATGAGTAATATCTCAAAAATTCAATCTGAACTTTTCTATTGCTACACAACAAATTTGATAGATACCCAGTCGAAGTCGACAGACAGTCGAAGCATACTTTAGCTGTGATACTACTAAGAGGAGTATACTCTTTACGATGCGTTGATTGAGCAACAATCTCAATTGGGTTGAACCGTACAAGCACTTTGGATGATTTCATGGTTATGTTTTTCATATGTTGCAAAAATCTCAACTGCACATCAAAAATAACTCCTGAATCTTTTATGGTTGTTGAGTATTTCACAGGAGCGTTACATTACATATATTTTGAATGTAATATAAAACATATTGCTATAATTTAACTTAAGATTAATCAACCAATTATTTTTTGAAATGATGAGTTGGTTTACATTTAATTTCATTAGCAAGTTGATTAAAATATAAGAGCCCCCTAGGTTTGTTAAAATGTGTTTTTCAGTTAGCCAGCTGTTGCCTCTTTATGAATGACAACCCTCAGAGTATATGTGTCAAATATGTACATTGCAGATGATAACTTTGAAGAGATTTAATTTTTTTAAAGTTTTGTTTGGTTGTTGACCATTTGAAACCAGGAAAAAATTTAATGTTAAAGTAGATTGTCAATTTTTACAATAATCTAAACGTTTCTTGTTATAAAAAAAATACAATTGTTAAATATAACAATTATAAATAACATTTCATAATATTCTCTGTGTTCTTTGAATCCAAGCGGATAAATTCCGAGATCTCTTCTCCCAGTGCGGTATAATCAATAATAAACATGTAAATTACAGCGAACCCAGGTCAACCCCCTCACCAACAATGGCAACAAACCCAAAATCGTCCTGTGCCTACCCCAACACCTCAACCTACGATGGAGATAACCACGAAGGTTCAGATGTTCAATGCCAACTTAATCCCTGCTCCGCCATTACCTCCAGAGAATATAATCACCGAACAGGACAAACAAACGCAGCTGCTGTACGAACAGTGGTTGAATCACCAGAGTAACGTTTTGGTAGCACAACTTCGCTATTATGAAACTGAAGTGCAAAAACTAAGAAAGAGTAGAAAGGTAAGGGAAATATATTTCAGAAAGTTCAACTTGTTATTACAGCAGAACACTTTAGGTTAATCTCGTTTGGAAACCCATATTCTTTGTGTGATAGTTATGAATTTTTACCAAATACTCCTAGACTATATTATTTTTTTGAGTAAAGTTCGTCAATGTTGTCAATTTCAGTCTCTGAATAGTAAACAAAGGCAGCTGAGAAAATCAGGAAACCAACTGAACGAAACAGATGCCACGGAACTCCAGAGAATCTCGGCAGAGCAGGCCATATTACAGAAACATCTGGAATCTAGCAGAAAACAAAATCGACAGCATTCTATGCTCGTGCAGGTATTCATCAATACTTTATAGGCACTGCTCTTTATGTAGGTTGCACCGTTTGTTAGTGGCAAATTCCTCAACGTAACCTCACTATCATTAGTTTTTTTTTTTTCATTATTACTGAATCGATAAAATTGTTTATTCCAATCGGTTGAAAATCTAACAAAAATGTTAACAATAAAACAAACTATTTTTTGTCTGGGAAACATGGATATTCAACGGTTGTTGATCACAAATCAGTTTTGTGGGGTTATGTTCTTTTAGAAAAAATCCTTTCACCTCCTCTTGAGTAGTCACAACACAGAGTAAGTATTTTAGAACTTGAGTTCTAAATTATCTCAATGTATAACTATCAGTTCCCTCACACCATCTGAGAGGAATGATATTTGAACTGGCTAACCTAATAACCATTGAAGATTATCCGGATATACATGACTAACGGATAATCTTCAATGGTCATTGGGTTAGTCAGTTCAAATATCATTCCTCTCAGTCGTATGGGGGTGTGAGGAAACTGATGGTTATACATTGAGATAATTTAGAACCCAAGTTCTAAAATACACAAAATGGAGAAGGTCCATTTACCGCACAGAGTAAGTAGTTGCACTCCGCAGAAAGTAGCAATGTCTATAACGAATTCATCAATTTTATATAATTTCGTATTACCCCTATTGGTCTATATGAAGGAATACCGAAATAAACATCCGGCCAAGCAGCGGCCTCTCCAGGATCAAATGCAGTCACCTTTGGGTCCCCCCGCCTCTTCTCCGATTCACCATCCAAGTACGTCGCAGTCTCCGATGATGTCACCTTCGGCGTCCCCTCTGACGCAGCACAACTCGCCTATGAACAGCCCGGGACCGATAATTTCCCCTGGCTCCGTTCAAAATTTATTACAGAGTCCGAACAGCCTTCCCAGCAATATGTCGCCTTGTCAACCAACTCAGATGCAACAGTCTCCCATGCAGCCTTCGCCAATGCAACCCTCACCTATGCAGCCTTCGCCTAGGATTGGAACGCCTCATTCTCAAAGTAAGTATTATCTGTAGCTGTTAGGTTAGGTCTGATTAATGTAGCTCAAACACACATAGTTAAACTACTAATTTTACAAAAGTCTGCCACAAGATGTATTACAAAGTCAAATTGGGAGGCTAGTTGTAGGCCTTTATTTCCGGCTCTAGGAATAATGACTGTTTATGCCTTAATTATATACCACAAACTAATATGTATTCAAAATAATATTGAATGCTATGAAACTCATGAAGAGATACATGAATATTATACAAGGTTCAAAACCAGAATAGTTGAGCCAAAAACAAGGCTTCAAAAAACCACCAAAATTGATACGGGACTCTATAACAACTTACCATCTCCATTTTCGAGATTTACCTCCAAAAAAATTCAAAATCTAAATTGAAATGTATCTTATCTAGTAACTGTATTTACAACTTCCAAGAATTTACTCAGTTGATCGCTGAAAATCGGCATTTGTTCATGGATAATCACAGTCATTGAATATAATTTCTTATTTTATTGTTACGGTATACAGTGTGGTCCACTGAGTCTGCAACAAATGGGAAACTTTTTTATTATCGATTTCTCAGAAAATTTTATTCTTAACAAAAGTTGGTGAATGTTCCAAAACTATACCAAGTGTACCTGAAATGGCTTTATGACAAACACCATGCAGGATAGGCCAAAAAATATAAAGTTCGTTCAAGAGTAAAGTACCCTTATTTCAAAAAATATAGAAATATGTTGTAGAGAAAAGTTGCTTAGAATTAAAAGTTATTTTCAGATAAGAAGTCATGGCCTGCTATTTGGATTTTTTTTGGAAAATTTTGAATTACCCCCGTATGATACATATTTTTACTATTTTGATTTAATATGTATTTGAAGTAGCCACAATCAAATCAGTTTGAAGTATTTTTTATCAAATTAAAGTGTATTTGTAAAATTTACTTGAATTTGTATTTTTTTAGGTGACCGTCAACTTCATGTTTGTTGCAATTTAACAATTTAACAGAACTCTAGAATAAAACAAATACTCTTTTTAACGAGGCAAATACTTTACTAACTAAATGTTCATATGAGTAAACTGTCGATAAAAGTATGAAATTTCTTTTATTCTGACAACAATGCCTCAACTAGAACAGATATTAAAAAACAATCCAAAATCTATTGCGGATAGCCATGAACAAAAAACACATACGCCCTAAAACAATACTGTAGTTTGATAGTGTGGCTTCTTAAAACTTGCCTGTAAAACGTTTTCATATTTGTCCTTAATTAAAAAT